GGAGTGAAGTTGTGTGATTTGTTTTATTTTGTCTATTTAGTGTTTCTTCAGGTTTAAATGTGTAATAATGGTGGTTTATTAACTGTTTAATATCTGTGAAAGTGCACAAATGTGGGAAAATGAAACAAAGCTGCTGGACGTAACTTCTCGGGTTCCTCCAAAAAGTCCACTGAAAAAATCTCAGTAAATNATTGCTTAGATGGATGGACGAGCTCACAGCCCACTTGGTGTTAAGTGGTTACTGGAGCCCATAGACATCTACAACGTAAATGCGCCACCCACCTCGAGATATAAGTTCTAAGATCTCAGTATAGTTACAACGGCTACCCCACCCTTCGAACCGAAACGTATTACTGCTTCACGGCGGAAATAGGCGGGGTGGTGGTACCTACCCGTGCGGACTCCCAAGAGGTCCTACCACCAGTAATCCTACCACCAGTGGCGGCATTGATGTTGTTGATGTCTATGGACTCCGGCGACCACTTAACACCGAGTGGGCTTTTACCTCATCCACCCATATGAATAAAAAAATAAAAAAGAACATCGTAATACTCTGTTTTTACCTTTGTTTGTATGTGGAGCTTTCAATTCCTAAATGCTGTTAGTAGGAATGTTTGTATTCAAAAACAAAATATTTATTCCAAGCTTAAATGTCGTCAAAGCAACAAGCTACTGCTTGAATTTCAAAATCTACTAAAAACCTTGGATAACTTAAAAAATTGCCCTCCTATGACAATACTATTAGAGGCGACTTCCTCTTAAGTCAAAGTCGATGGGCCATGACGACGAGCACTTACGTGGACTCGTGACGTCATCTGGAGGGGCAACTCGTCATCTGGAGGGGCAACCGACCGACCAGCGGGGACATCACGCCACCTCGGATCACTTTTTGCTGGAAGCGCGCGCAGCGTTCACTTGTCTTAGATTTAATATTCTGTGTCGATCGTTCCAACCCACTTTTGTATTTTTTTTTATTTATTCAAATTATTAAGCCGTTGCTAAAAATACTATAATTTTTTTAATTAGGCCTAATATAAAAAAAAAAATGAAAAAAAATAATATTAATTAGGCCTAATATCCTGAGTATGCTTAGTGCGAGTTTTTTAACGTTCTCGATAGTGTAAAAGTTAACTCAAATTTGTATGCAGTTGGAACAGCGCCTCTAGTGACAAACGTAGGCAAACGTTCCAACTCCATACAAATTTGAGTTAACTTTTACGCTATCGAGAACGTTAAAAACCTCGCAATGAGCACACAGGTTGACAAGTGCAACAAACTGGTAATTTTTGTAAATTACTCTCATGTTTGTAAATTTTATTAATGTAATTAAGTACTGAATTACCAAAACTTAGTTTGGTTAACTAGTGATTTAATAAATGTTTGGGAGGCTTGAACGACAAAGGGAAGATCTTCCTCCGAGCGGGTGATATTGCTCGGTAGACCGACGGTCCAGCTGTTGTTGTTCGGAACTTGTATATATGCAAGCTTATCTTGAAAATATCGTAAGCGAGATTCAGGCATCTTTCAAATATCTTGTGTTCTGTTATGGCTACCGCCACGAATGTTTGATTTAATAAATGTTAAAACGAATTTAGGAAAAATAATTTGTCGTGATAATATAAATTACTAACATAACACTTGTATATAAACCAACATTTTACAACAAAATTTATAATGAAAATATTGATACCAAATCATGATCAAAGTTGATTACTCTTGGCAGAGCAGTCGTGATCATGTAGGATCCTTGTTTTTTATAGCCTTATACCAAATACCAGTACCTGATTAATGAAATGTTTCATTTTGCCCTGTAAAGGTGCACAGTATTTTTTATTGGCGTTTGGTTTAAGTCGCGTTTGCACAATTGCTTTGCGGTAGAAATAAGAATGGGGTAACGACCCGTGCGGGCACACAAAACACCCTGCCCAGCGTGGCTCGTGAGGAAGGAACGTCGACCTACACGACGACGCGGGCTTCAAAACGATCCGGAAACACCTGAAGTCAGCGTCGGAACGGTACTTCGAAAAGGCTATGCGTCATAATAATCCCTATCGTTGCCGCCGCTGACTACTGCCCAGTTCCTGCCCACGCAGGAGCCAGTCACCGTCAACGCCCTAGACACGTCTTTACTGATCCATCAGATCCAATAACTCTTCGCATTAGAGGCTTTCAGCTTTAATACTAGCAGCGCTGTACGTATACTTGTCGAACACGGCAAAGAGTTCGACATGCAACCACCTAACCTATGCATCAGAAATTCTCACCGGGTCACCTCAGCGGGTCACGATTGGGATCCGGTAGTAGATTCGTTTGCGAAGCAGCTGCCCTTGAGTTATTAGGCTTCCTCCTGAGGCGCTCGGGCAGCTGTTAGCAAATCCCACCCCTCCTGGCGGAGCCTTTGCTTGCCGACTCATACTGGTGAAACTGTGAAGGCCTCCGGGCCACCAGTAAGTAACCCTTCATTTCAAAACTAGCTATTTATTTCTGAATTGTTAATATTAGTGATATTTAATAAGATCTTAATAATATGACTTCTTTGGTAAGCATTTCGTCATTATTTTTAAAAAAAATAAAAAAATAAAATAGTTCAGGATCGTTACTCCTTCACCGGCCAGCGGAAGACTAAGAAGAATGCTCCTGCCCCGTTCCAGCCTGCGAAGGCGGGGCCCGGCAGGAGCCGAAATAAGAAGAAGGGGGGCGTCAACGCCGCCAAACCGGCCCCGACCCCCCAGCCCCGCCCACTGCCCCCTGCCCCGGCCAATATGGAAGAGGCCTGGACGACGGTAGTGCGGCGTGGGCCCAAAAAGGTGGCGGCGCCTCCTGCGCCACGCCCCAAGCCCGCCCCTGCGGCCGCCGCTCCCTGCCAAGAGGGTCGAGCGGAGCCGAGGGGCCGAACTGGTAGAAGGAGGCCGCGCGCCCCGCGGTCGGCTGCAGTGGTAGTGGAGCTGCTGCCGGCCGGCAAAGAAAAGGGCATCACCTACCACGAGGTGATGACCCAGGCGCGCGGTGGCGTGAATGTGGACGCCCTCGGCGTGGAGGGGGGCATCAAGGTCCGGCAGACGGCCAACGGGGCTCGTCTTATAGAGTGCCCCGGCCCCAACACAAACGCCGCGGCCGAAAAATTGGCGGCCCGGCTGAGGGAGATCCTGCCGGACCCCGAGGTGGTGCGCATCGCGCGGCCCGTGAAGATGGGGGAAGTAAAAATCACGGGCCTCGAAGAGTGCGCCACGAAAGAGGAGGTCGCCGCGGCAATCGCGTCGCAGGGCAACTGCGCCCTCGCCGACGTCAAAGTCGGGGAGCTCCGGGCGACGTACTCCGGAACCCGGACGGCGTGGGCGCGTTGCCCGGTAGTAACGGCGAACCTCCTGGCCACCCCTCCACAGGGTCGGCCTTCGGACAGCCCTGGATGGCTGCGCGTGGGCTGGGTAGTGGCCCACGTGCAACTGCAGGNACCACCATTTTACTGCGATTATATTTCATCCCATATCATCTCATTTCATTAAATTTCATCCCAGTTGATTAATGTCTCAAATTAATCATCTTCATTTCATTTCACTCCATATTATCACTTTTCATAAAATTAAGAAAATAAAGTAAAATAAGACATGACTTAAAGGTCTTAGTTACCAGGTCATAAAATCTCTTAAAAAAAAAAAAAAATAAGCGAGTTTCAAGCATCTGTCAAATAAATATATTGTGTTCTATAATGGCTACCGCCACAAAATCTACGTGTCTCAATTGTGTAGTAATTATGCAAATTACAATATATGCGAGTTTTACTTTTGATGCATGGTTCTTATTCTTTCATTTTGGAGGACACTCGCGAACGTCATCTAAGTACATGTTTCATTACGTGAATTAGAACGTGACGTGGAATGTAAACTCACTCGCATCGCTCACATTGCTATATGAGTCGTCTNTTTTTTTTTTTTATGATTGAAAGTTTACTGGTGGCCCGAAGGCCTTTCCAGTTTCACCAGGACAGGTGGGCGAGCAAAGGCTCAGCCAAGAGGGGTGGGATTTGCTAACAACTGCCCGAGCGCCTCCGAAGGAGACCTAACAACTCAAGAGCAATTGTTTCGCGAATGAATCTACTACCGGATCGGAATCGCGACCCGCTGAGAAGATCCGGCGAGAAACTCAGCGGGCTGATGCATGGGTAAGTCGTCTATTATCAAAGGTGGCAATCTGTGCATTTGGACAAAAAAATGTTATTGATATGTCAATACAGATTGATTTGAATATAATTGTCTCCTTCAAAGAATACGGTTCAAAACCTGCATTAAATAAAGGTTAATACTTAACCTGTTATTTATCTAAGATGTCGTTCCGAAGAGCTTTGTGACTGCCAATGGAATACAAAGTCAATAATTCGTTTTTCTGATTTACCAATCATTGTCCAAAAGTCAGATTGCCGCCTTTGATAATAGTCGACTCATATTTGAGTACATCGGTCATCTTATCCTTTAAGCCACGGCGCGGCGGCGATTCCAATACACTTTGAGTATTCTTTATTGCACAATAAAATATATTAATACTGCAAATTAGGAAAATACCATTCAAAGGAAAGTATCATTTCTAGAATGGGCGGTTTTATCGCTAAAATATATGACTTACAAGCAACCGTTTTCAAATTTTTTTTATTTTTTAATTTATTGCTTAGATGGGTGGACGAGCTCACGGCCCACTTGGTGTTATGTGGTTACCGTAGCCCATAGACAACTACAACGTAAATGCCGCCACCCACCTCGAGGCATGAGTTCTTAGGTCTCCGTTTTTTCAGTACAACGGCTGCCCCACCCTTTAAACCGAAACGCATTACTGATTTACGGCAGAAATAGACAGGATGGTGGTACCTACCCGTGCGGACTCACAAGAGGTCCTGCCGCCAGTAAAATAAATGAAATAGAGAAAATTCTCACTGTCATTCTATTCTCAAATAGAGAAATTCTGAAAAGGATAAACAAAAAAAACTTAAAATGCGGTTAAAACACAACACCCATAATATTAATTAGTATATTATTTATTGTACATCTCATCTGATTTTCTTGACACATACAGATCTGCCCTTGACGCTAGTGTCCTTTTTATAGCCCATGTTACAAATGCACAGGTTTGGTGCCGAGCAGACACCATTAGGACACCCTCCGGCACAGTGAGGTATGCACCTGTACATAAAAACTGCATGGAAACTTTGATGCAAAAACCGTATACTTAAACTTTCATGCTTTTCAGCTTAACAAATAGGTACTATGATTTAACGGGCTCAGCATTATTGAGAGGTCCGTGATCATGGGCAGACTGAAGAATGTCGTTAGGAAGTTTTTGGGTGTTGGAGCTCTCGATGGATCGTCCCGACAATGTGCACTTAAAGTTTTTTAGAACACTTCGAGGAAGAATTCTTTCTTTTTTTTTATTGCTTAGATGGGTGGACGAGCTCACAGCCCACCTGGTGTTAAGTGGTTACTGGAGCCCATAGACATCTACAAAGTAAATGCGCCACCCACCTTGAGATATAAGTTGTAAGGTCTCAGTATAGTTACAACGGCTGCCCCACCCTTCAAACCGAAACGCATTACTGCTTCACGGCAGAAATAGGCAGGGTGGTGGTACCTACCCGCGCGGACTCACAACAGGTTCTACCCCTAGTAATTACGCAAATTATAATTTTGCGGGTTTCACTTTTATTACACGATGTTATTCCTTTCACCGTGCAAGTCAATCGTGAACATTTGTTGAGTACGTATTTCATTAGAAAAATTGGTACTCGCCTGCGGGATTCGAACACCGGTGCATCGCTTCAACACGAACGCACCGGACGTCTTATTTTTTAGGCCACGACGACTTCAAACCTAAATACTGAGTGGAACCCAGTAGGCAAATGTATTAGCTCCCAAAATCCTACCATCAATCTTCAGTCCACGCGTGATCATGGCGTTTGCAAGAGCGCCGAAATATCGGTAACAAACTAAAACTAAAACCCGTTACAAGAATCCGAAAAACAAGTTTAATGGTAATATTTCGATGCCTTACCTAAATCCACTGGGGTCCATACTATCAGTGACATATCCAGTGTTGCAGGAGCATCTGTTGCCTTCGACACAGACTCCGTTCAGACAAGGCTGAGAGCATACAGGCGCCTGAGGATTTGACCCCTCATAATTGTTATAATAGCCCGCATGTAAGGAATCTGTGCTTGGTGTTGGTTGCTGCCCATAGTATCCGGAGTTGGACTGATTAGGCTGAAAATATCCTGGTTGAGGATACGACGGTTGATAAAGCGGATACGGATAGTAGCCTTGATGGGGAGGGAAGCCACCTTGACCGGGTACAGTGCGATTGGATAAGTCCAAGAAGCCGTTTTGCGTGTGATTACCGTTTGCGGGTATTTGTCCAGGAAACCAAGGCTGAAGTGGAGAAGGATAAGGATAAACGTTTTGATTAGGATAGTGAGGTGGCATTTGAGTTTGATTAAACTGTTGTGTTGGATAAATGGGCTGTTGGCCCGGGCTCGGTAATGGTCCTGGATATTGTGGTTGATATGGTGACGGATTGGAATCAAAGTAATTATTTTTCCAATGTGGGTGTAGAGTGCTATTCAATAAGGTGTAGTTTGGCTGATTGGAATGCGGGTTTTGCTGCCAAGGATATTGAGGCTGGTTGGGTAGAGGATACTGAGGCTGTTGCCCTGGATAGCTATTGTTCAATTGTTGCAACGAATAAGAAGGATATAAACTAGTGTTGTGTAAAGGACCATTTAGTTGATTATCAGAAACTGGTTGGCTGGTTCCATATGAGGGACCGACAACATAATTCGGCTGTTGGGTGGGAAGAGGACCTTGTGCGATCCCTGGACGATTGTAAAAAGTGGAACTATGATATCCTGGATAATTAGATGTAGGGATTTGGGTGTTTTGTCCCGGCAACGGAATTCTGGTAGGGCCTGAGCACACATTCGGAGCAACACAAGCATCGGGCGCGCAATCGCTGAAAAAAAAGTAAATGAACATTGCATATATCTAATCTTTTGAAAATTTGTAAGTATGTAATTAACAGAGGCGGATTATCCATAAGGCAAACTAGGTACGTGCCTAGGGGCGTATAGTTACAAGGGGCGCGCAAGCTCAGAATTTTTAAATAAATAAAGAAAATAACATATCGACGATTAAGAACTAAATGCTGATTTATAATCTAAATCTATAATAGATTATATTGCACAAGCATCGATATATTCGTATTATGCAATATTGAGTGTTTGTTGCGTCGTCGCGTCGTTCTCGCGCGCGTCGCGATTATGGCCTATTTCCTAGAGGAATCATGAATTTCGATGTTCGTTCTGTCGTCCCTCTTGATTTCTTCACAGTTATAACGTCATATTTCATTCGCTAATTAGCGTAAGTACAAGGGTCCTGGTCTACTAAAGTCTAGGGTTTGATGATACAACGTCATCGTAATTGCAAAAACAACTAGTTAAAATTTAATAGTATTATGATGGCCATTTATGGCCGGTACAGGGGCGCCGATAAAGTGATTGCCTAGGGCGCTCTGGACCTTTAATCCGCCACTAGCAATTAAGAATGGTTTTCAAAAGATATTTAATTAGTTAAATACGTACCGACATTGTGGACTGCACGATCCATCGTGTGTTGTCTGATAACCAGGTGCGCAGTCGCATCGGTTTGGTGAAGTGCAATTACCTAATTACAATAAATACAAAAAAAAATTTACTGCAAAGATCTTAAGTTTTTTTTTTATTGCGTTTGGAGGAAGACGAGCATGCGGCCCCACCTGATGGAAAGTTGTCACTGTCACTCATTGACGTCAGCCATGCCAGGGGCAGAGCCAAGCCGCTGCTTACCAGAAGCTTAAGTGTTCGATTAGTAGGGGACATCGGTAGCTGTACAGTTTAATTTTCGTGCTTATTATTCGGTTAAAATCATGAAATTCCGGCCTTGGAATGAGCTCCCTTCTACGCTGTTTCTGAAGCGCTATGATACGTCCTTCTTCACGAGGCTAGCTAGCTAGTACTCGATGGTAGGCAGCGGCTTGGCTCTGCACCTGGCATTGCTGACGTCCATGAGCGACAGTAACCACTTACCATCAAGTGGGCCGTATGCCTGTCTGCTTCCTCCTCCTCCTCCTTCAGTCGATCGCTCATTGCTGAGCATCGTGATGCGACCTTTTTTTGTAATATGTAACAACTTATGTCGGTCAGTAGCACAGTGAAATGCGCGGCTCAATCTCGTATCCAGACGCTCGGACACTTGGTCACTCCATCTTTTTTAGCTCTGACCTCTGGATCGTCTTCCATCCACTTTACCATCACTATGAGTTTCACCAGGTTGTCAGAGGGCTTTCTTGCTATATGACCAAAATATTGGAGCATATAGGCATATGGTGGATAGCCTCTGATCAACTTTTAGCTCGTTGAGGATGGAAGCGTTCGTCCGCAAAACCGTCCAAGGGATGCGCGACATGCACCGCCAGCATCACAACTCAACAAAGGCAATTAACAAAAAAATAAAGTACAACTCACCGACACCGGCGCAGTTGTTACTGCAAGCTGGCACACAGTATTTACGTCCGTAGTCTAGTTTAAAGCCATCCCTGCAGACGCACTCTCGACCGGAGCAGTGGCCATTTTGACATCCAATCGGGCATGTAGCGATGCAGAAGCCGCCGGCGTTCTTGACGTGGTCAGGGAAGCACGTGCAGATTTCGGGCGCCGTGCACAATGCGTTGACGCATCCTTTGCTGCAGTGCGGCTCGCAAATGTTAGGGTTGTAGATGTTCCTCACGTAGCCATTGCAGCAAGAACGAATGACGCTGAGATCGGGCCGGGACTGAAATTATTGTTTTATTTGGATTAGCTTTAAACTCTGTTCAAATGCTTTGTGGCTCGCCACGGTACGCATACTATCTATCTATATATATAAAAATTAATTGCTGTTCGTTAGTCTCGCTAAAACTCGAGAACGGCTGGACCAATTTGGCTAATTTTGGTCTTGAATTATTTGTGTAAGTCCAGAGAAGGTTAAAAGGTAGATAAATAGGAAAATGCTCGGAATTAAATAAAAACTTACAATTTTGTTTTTCCTTTGATGTGTCCCCCGTTGGACGGATTTCTTTTGTTTGTCTTAAATTTATTATATACAAAAGTTTAGGTCTTTAAGTTATCCATTGAGGCCCTACGAAGTCTGCCGGGTCAGCTAGTACTAATATATAAATCTACAGTGGTTTTTACGGATATTCCGTTATAACTACTGAACCATGCCGCAGATTCTGTCAGAAGGTCTGTCGGTCAGAAGCTAATAAAAACGTATTAAAAATAAAGCCATACGATACTGGTCCTAAAAGTTACTTTCTGTACGTCCGAACTGTACTCACTCCGTTTCCTTTAGGTATCTGCCTCTGATCCTCGACAAGTTGAGCTGTACTGGAACAAAAATATATATTTGCTGTAGTAGTTGTAGTATTTCTCTTGGTTTTCGCCAGCCGCAGACATAATTAAGCCTGCTTCTGTAATTTGATCTGGTCTTTTTGAATTGTCATTATATTATTTCCGACTTTACGCGAATACTGACCAAAAACGCTGTGAAGTTTTTTTTTGTTTTTTTTTTTATTGCTTCGATGGGTGGACGAGCTCACAGTCTACCTGGTCTTAAGTGGTAACTGGAGCCCATAGACATCTACAACGTAAATGCGCCACCCATCTTGAGATATAAGTTCTATGATCTCAGTATAGTTACAACGGCTGCCCCACCCTTCAAACCGAAACGCATTACTGCTTCACGGCAGAAATAGGCAGGGTGGTGGTACCTACCCGCGCGGACTCACAAGAGGTCCTACCACCAGTATTATAGAAATCTATACTAATATATATGTTAATATATGTTAATATCCTATAGAAATCTATACTAATATATAAATCTACAGTAGTTTTTACGGATGTTCCGTTATAACTACTCAAACATGCATCCGATTGACTTGAAACTTGTTATCCATGTAGAAAATACAAGTACTTAATGGATAGCTTAATATTTATATGAGTGTTGGACTCCGTACACCCGTTGCGGGGGCGTTAATGATGAGAATCTTTGTGGGGGTGAGAAATAATAATGTTATGTAATTTGAAATGCCCAGCGAGGCGGACGGGTACAGCTATATAGTTATGTATAAAATAATTTAGTTTTATCAGCATCTGTCGCGAAGCAGCCTTATAAAACCCGACTTTAGCGGCATAACTAGTAATTTTTTTTTTCTTCAAAATCTTCCTGATTCAAATTACAATTTTGCTAATAATATGTTTGCTTATCTTCTTTCTTTAATGTCCTTAAGCGGGTGACAGTATTCAGATTATGATGTTGGACTCCAGAATCAAGAGGAACGTCCGTTCAGCTAACGACCGTGTGTTGATAATAAGCTTTTAGGTTACAAAAAAAAAGCTGGCATAAGTTTATTTATTTATTTATTTAATTGATGAGTGGACGATCTCACCTGATGTTAAGTGGTCACTGGAGCGGGTATTTGTTGTTCTTGTTGTTGGAATTTGTTGACATCTACAAAGTAAATGCCGCCACCCACCTTGAGTAACTATTACTTGAGATCTTACAACTTATATCTCAAGGTAGGTGGCGCATTTACGTCGTGGATGTCTATGGGCTCCAGGCTCGTCCACCCATTTAAGCAATAAAAAAAAGGTATGAGTTCTCAAGTCGCAGTATAGTTACAACTTCTGCCCCGCCCTTCAAACCGAAACGCATTACTGCTTCACGGCAGAAATAGGCAGGGTGGTGGTACCTACCCGTGTGGACTAACAAGACGTCCTTCCACCTGTAAAAAAATACTTACGGTACTTCGATATAACATACTCCGATATCGCTCATGGTGTTAACCGTATGGTTTTGCGATAGAAAACCATGGCTGGTGTTGTTCCCGTAAAATCTGCAACGGAAAATAGACTTTTGACGTGACAACGTCTTACAATTCGATGCAGCCGGCTGCACGCACGAAAAAACATGACTCATTGAGGCGTTCCATTTAATGTTTGAAGTGCAAGCGAGATCGCGCAACGAGCGACAAAGAGGCACAATCGGCCTCCGCGTTCGGGAGCGTTCGACATCTGTCTCTCTCCTACTTGAGTGAGCGATGCATCCGCGTGGACAGCTGCTATACAATAATACATTTACATGTTTTCGTCAAGTATGAAGTTCAGTGAATGTGGTGTCAATTGTCTATACAAAATATCTATCAAACAAATAAAATAAAAAAATTCTTTTGAAAAATGAAACCATTCCATCAGTGTTTTCTTATGACGTTGTCACGTTCAACTGTCGTCAGTAAACCGACTTTACAGACAACCGATTTTTTTTTTTTGTCAGAGCAAAGAATAACTTTTTGGCTTAAGTTGGCAGATAATTTTACAGAGAAGCAAGATAGATATATACAAATAGACCTTAGACAAACAGAGACAGGCAAGTTTCAATAAAATAGATGGCGGGGTTACAGAGGGCCAATGTCTAATAGTCCTTGAAGAGCTAAAAGACATAATTAATGGATCAAGTGTCTGATTTATACGAATTTGTCGTGGCCTAAAGGACAAGACGCCCGGAGTATTAGTACAGTATCAAACGATGTGCTTATGTCGGTGTTCAAATCTCGTAATGTAATAAAAATAAAGCCTTTTGTGTAAGTTTTTCAATGATACTAACGTACCTAATAATGTCCACGATGAAGGAATAACGCCGTGTCGTAAAAAACATACCCGCAAAATTGATAAATTTGCGGAACCAGGTAGGCAGCGGCTTGAATCTGCTCCTGGCTTTGCTGACGTCCATGGGCGACGGTAACCACTCACCATCAGGTGGGCCGTATGCTCGTCTGCCAACAAGGGCAATAAAAAAACCGCTGTTGCTATCATGGGCACGCACGGGTATCAATCGCCCTGCCCACTTCTGCCGGAACGGAACTACGGTTTGAAGAGTAGGCTAACTGTAATACAGTTCGATTGTGACTTCAACCTTATGGAATGCGGTGGAAGGTTGGATTTTCATGGGCTCTAATAACTTAACGCTAAGTAGGCCTTGACATCCTTCATCCGTCAGTGCACTAAATTCCATTATCATATCTAGCATTCAGATGAAATGGGTATTGGAGCCCGGGGGGGGGGTGTTATGTGATAATATTATAAATATTTACTAAATCACAAAAATACAAACTTGGCGATGTTTTCATTGGTGTTATCTTGGAAGCCGCGACCTCCGTAGCCACCTTTGACCCCCGACTTCGCGTACTGACCGCCGGTGGATACCAGCAAGAGCCCGAGCACATATATAATCAACATTGTTCCTGAAATAGTTAAGAGCAGATTTTGCTTTTGAAGACTCTATTTGCTCGACGTGGAAATCGAACTTACGACCCTCGACGTAACAGCCAGGGCTGCTAACCAAACCACCACAGAAACATGAAGTCGAATTTTCAATTGTAATGTACAGCGGGGGTTCCATCCATCCAACCGAGCCATATGTGGGGTTCGCGGCACAAATAGGCAGTGGTGGTACTTACCTAATATGTTGTCAGCTCATATATCTTATAAACAATGGAAAAATGGTGGTAGGACCTCTTGTGAGTCCGCACCGGTAGGTATATACCTGCCTATTTCTGCCGTGAAGCAGTAAAGCGTTTGATTGGGGCAGCCGTTGTAACTATACTGTGACCTTCGAACTTATATCTCAAGGTAGGTGGTGGCATTTACGTGTCTACGGGCTCCGGTAACTACTTAACACCAGGTGGGCCGCGAGCTCGTTCACACATCTAAGCAATAAACAAAAAAAAGAAACGATAGTGTCATGCTTAAGGAAAAGTCTTGATATAATACTAAAGTTCTAAGAAGCGATATTATCTTTGATAAACACATCATAACAAGTATGACATAATGCACGCTACTTACCCGAGCTGTGTATCAGGGTCAAGGCGACCTCTCGTTACAAACGCCGACACTACACTGGTTTTGTGCTTCACGAAATATATATGCGACAAACAGTGCTGTCTTTTGTAATCAGGACACAGCGCAAGCTCAATGGTTCTGTATACGTATATACATAGTCAGGTCATAAATTCTGTCACATGTTTAATGTAAAATAATTGAAACAAGTTTATTCATTATGTAACCATTAATATACCAAAATGAACTTAACAAAACATAGATTCTTATGACACTAAAGTTTATTCAAAATGACCTCCGTGATTTTGAATACAGGCCTTCAATCTGCGCGGCCAGTCGTCTATCGCAGCACGAACGAGGTCCATGTCAATATCGGCGGCTGCCTTAATCAAGGATGTCTTGAGTGACTCCAAATTGGGATGAGGCTTTGAGCACGCCTTTTCCTCCAAGTGTTGCCATATCTTGTAATCTAACGGATTCAAATCTGGACTGGAGGAGGGCCAGTCTTCGTGCCGGATGAAGTCGATTTCACGCGCCGCCAGCCAGTCTTGTGTGCTCTTCGCTCTATGAGCTGGCGCCGAATCTTGTTGGAATACCCAGTGCCTGTTATTGAACATGGTATGAGAAACAGGTTCCACAAGGTTCGTCAGGACTGTATTTTGATACACAACTGCATTCGTTTTTACACCTTTCTCACAAAAATGTACCTCTGTTAAGCCCCAATAAGAAACTCCCAACCATACCATGAGCGAGGATGGAAAATGACCTCGTTGGACACGCGGAATACGGTTGCTCGCTTCTTCACTACTGTGTGCGTACACCTTATCATTTTGTTTGTTGTAGCTCTCTTCTACGGTAAAAATTTTTTCATCCGAAAAAAGAATTTCCCGATATTTTTTTCCCGCGTACCGCTTCAACAAAGCGCGGCATCTCTTCAGTCTCAGGTCCATTAGACGAGCATTCAAACGATGTCCTGTTTTTCTTCGATATGCCCGAAGCCCTAAGTCTTCATTTAACACCCTTTTCACCGTGGTTCTGCTTAACCCCATCTGAAGGGCCAACAGTTTCTGCTTACGTTTGGGATTTCTTTGAATTCGCGCCTTCACAGCTTTTATCACTGCTGGAGTCCTAACAGACCGAGGGCGACCACTTCTTGACCTGTCATCTACACTAGAGTCTTCATTGTATCGTTTGATGGTACGATAAACGAATCTTTTGGTTATATTCAAATTTTTCAGTATGTTAAAAATTTGAATTGGCGCGTAACCGCAACGATGCAACGCAATAACTGCAACACGGTCTTCTTTAAGCGTCCACTCCATATTTAAAAATGAGTAAAATTCTAAATGTATACTATTTTTATTTTCATGAACAATTCGAAATTCGAATTCAATAAACTTTTTTGTGGCCAGCATTCTAAAAGAAAAGTTTTTACTGTGTGACAATACTTATGACCTGACTAGGTAAATAAATATGTGGGATGGTAGGGAAAAATCTTGTGGATGTCAACTCTAAAATCTTAATTTTAAAAAAAACACTGGCAAAATCGTAATGAGACGATGTCTTTTTGGCGGGACCGCGGAGAGTGAAGTTTCGCGATTTGTTTTATTTTGTCTATTTAGTGTTTCTTAAGGTTTGAATGTGTAATAACGATGGTTTATTAACTGTTTAGTATCTGTGAAAGTGCACAAATGTGGGAATTTAAAACAAAGCCGCTGGACGTAACTTCTCGGGATCCTCCAAAAAGTCCACTAAAAAAGTCTCAGTAAATGACCACCATTTATTTTACTGAGATTAAATTTCATTCCTTATCATCTCATAATTTCACTTCATACCATCATATATATAAATTGATATACCTACATAAAAGATAAGGGTGTATTGTATGGCACCTTTGCCTTTCCAGTTGGAAAAATAAAACTACTACTACTACTACTACTCAATCGATGACTCATATTGACATTAATTTATTTTTATTGCCTAGATTGGTGGACTAGTTCACAGCCCATCTGGTGTTAAGTGGTTACTGGAGCCCATAGACATCTACAACGTAAATGCGCCACCCACCTTGAGATATGAGTTCTAAGGTCTCAAGTATAGTTACAACGGCTACCCCACTCTTCAAAACGAAACGCATTACTGCTTCACAGGAGAAACAGGTAGGATGGTGGTACCTACCGGTGTGAGAACGCTGGGGAATCCATTTACGGATATCCAGTCGAGGGGGGTCAGGGATTGGGTTATGTCGGAATCCGGCACCTCCTGAGAGGAAGAAGGGGAGAAGAGAAGGACCGAGGTTCTCCACTTCCCCCAATTTCTCACAGGAAACTAAGTACGCCCTGAAAAAGGCGCGCGAGGCACTTGCTCCGCAGAACCGACCACCGACTAAGCCCCATCGAGCTCCACCACACCGACTACACGAAAGTTACGGTACCGCAGTGCGCGCCGGAAGTCCCGCCTTCGCCAGTACCCGTTCTAATGATAAGACGGGATCTCATCCCCGGGAAAATCCCGAAGGACGTCGTCTCGGGAGACACATCGTTAGCGGTGCACAGGACCTACCTTGCACCGCTTCACCACCGGACCAACAGTCGAGTGCCGGGCGCCCCCGCACCTGGCAGTCGATAGTCCTTAGGGGGCTGAGCGGCGGCTTCTCGCCCGCGCCGTCCACCCCGCCTTCTGCGCTAAGGAGCCGAAGAGGGATCCCATTCCCTTTCGCGCTCCTCAGCCTCACGAAATGCCATGACCAAGTCGCAGAACCCGGCCATGGCTTTCCACGAACTCCAGTCCTCCACCATACGGGCGACGAAAGCCCACAAAGAGAGGTCCTGCCCTAGCATCGCGACGAGGTTTCGCCGCGGGTGCTTCCACCGTGGGCACGCTTCTAGCGCATGCTGAGCGTCATCCCGCACTGGTGGCAGCCCGGATGTCAAAAAACGCCCTACCACAAGTATTTGCGCAAATTTTAATTTCAGTGGTACTCGGGGACTGTCACGGTAAAGCTATTGCATAGCATTTTTTATCAACTTATACAATTATAATTAGAAAATATTATTTTAATATTAAACAATGATAAAATAAGACCACGCTATATTTATAAACATTAACAAAAGCAAAACATTGACTGTCCCCTTCACACTCATAAGCTGAACCACGCGAGAGAAAGATGGAGTGGGGGGTGTTAAGTTTTATTTTCGCTACGGAATTTCTTGATTCGATCGCCGTGCTCAAATCTCGCGGTAAAAGCTATGCAATAACTTAAAAAAACTCATTATATAGTATAAACAGAAAAATCGCATACATAAATTGTTTGGTTTTTCAAGATTATTTAAATATAGACTGAACCACAATTGGCGTCAACAACTGTGACCTTAGGTTATCATAATGTTAAGAATATGTGGAAATGTTATTTAAATATGGACCATTTTGAGAAGGATGTATCTTCGAAACACCACAATACCTCAGACACGTGAGCGAATTATTTTCTGATCTCGACCTGTCTTGTCTGGGAGTCCATAAGGATTTTCGAAGTTTTTCAATTCCTACGCTAGAACCCTAACTATTTACGAGAGAGAATGTAGCCGAAACCATAATTACGAGTATACTTAGTCTGGCCATAAATACTGTTACAATTAAAAATAAACAAAATATTACATTTGAATTTGGAATCTGTCATTTTTATATGATTGCTCATTGAGTTTTCTCATTTTGGCGCCAATACATTGTACAATATTTTGCGATATTAAAATGGAGTGGGGTGATAAAGAGAACCGAATCGCTGTGATTGTATTTCACAAAGTAGGTATGGAGCCAAATGCAATTTTTAAAACTCTCCATACGCTTGGTATTAGGAAAATGTTTGTGTACCGGGCTATTAGTAGGTGCAATGAGACCTCCTCTGTTTGTGACAGAAAAAGATCTGGCCGTCCACGTAGTGTCGTACGAAAAAGGTGGTCAAAGCAGTAAGGGAAAGAATTCGAAGAAATCCTGTCCGAAAGCAAAAGATTTTATCTCAGGAGATGAAGATAGCTCCTAGAACCATCTCGCGTATTTTAAAAGATGACTTAGGACTTGCAGCCTATAAGAGACGTAGTGGTCATTTCTTAACTGATAATTTAAAAGAGAATAGGGTGGTAAAATCGAAACAACTGCTGAAGCGGTACGCAAAGGGAGGTCATAGAAATTTTTTGTTTACGGATGAGAATTTTTTTACAATTGAGCAACATTTTAACAAACAAAATGTGTAATAAAAATCAAACCCAAAAATTATAATTTGCGTAATTATGTACTGGTGGTAGGACCTCTTCTGAGTCCGCACGGGTAGGTACCACCACCCCGCCTATTTCTGCCGTGAAGCAGTAATGCGTTTCGGTTTGAAGGGTGGGGCAGCTATTTATGAGACCTTAAAATTTATATCTCAAGATGGGTGCCACATGTACGTTGTAGATGGTTATGGGCTCTGGTAACCACTTAACACCAGGTGGGCTGTGAGCTCGTCCACCCATCTAAGCAATAAAAAAAAACCTAGCGAAGACGATATTGTGTCTATCGATTTTAAATAGTTTTCAACGCAATCATATAAAAAATCAAAAGATACAACTGACGTCCTAAACTAGGTAGTTCAAAAAAATGCCAGACTCTCGCGTGTACATATTCTGTCATGTGATCGCTTCCACCGCGCAGTGACGCGCCGTACTGCGCGATCATATGAACTTAGCCTTAGGTTAAAAATCGATGTTTGTCACGTATTTACACAACGAATGATTCGCGAACATCAGCATAGCGTTAGACCAACAAATTAAGAAATTAATGACGTCGGTCTATTTGAGAATTTATAATACCTATATATATTTATTATTATATTTAATTGATTTGTAATTGAACGTAATAATAATTAAAAATTAAGGATTAAAAAAAAACGTATAAAAACTTGACAATACTAAAGCTACCACTAAAAATGAAGTGGAAATTTTTAATCACGTTAATCGCTCTATAAAACTAATTAATTAATTCGAAAAGAATATTAAAAGATAATCTCCAATGTTTAAAACCAATCTAGACAGTCGCCAACTGCATTGTACTTTGTAATCAACTCCAAGAATTGTCGACTGGAGAAACCCACCTTCTACGAAGAGGAACTGTTCAATGGCTGACAAGTTAGTAAACGGTTTTTTTTTATCCATCATCTCGCAATTTTTTAAATCAATAAATACATTTCAGTTCAAAACCAAAAGCGCGCCTCGTGAATTCGCGCAAACAATTGAGTCGTCTATTATCAAAGGTGGCAATCTGTGCATTTGGACAAAAAAATGTTATTGATATGTCAATACAGATTGATTTGAATATAATCGTCTCCTTCAAAGAATACGGTTCAAAACCTGCATTAAATAAAGGTTAAGACTTAACCTGTTATTTATCTAAGATGTCGTTCAGAAGAGTTTTGTGACTGCCAATGGAATACAAAGTCAATAATTCGTTTCCTGATTTACCAATAATTGTCCAAAAGTCACATTGCCGGCTTTGATAATAGTCGACTCAATTACAAATAATTAATTGTGGTCATCTATTGATGTTCTTACAATAAGAAGCATTCCCGAAAATAAAAAAAAATAACAACAACCGCCATAACATAATACGCAATTACGCGGATCGAGACATTGAGAGGGTTTTTTTTTTATTGCTTAGATGGGTGGACGAGCTCACAGCCCACCTGGTGTTAGGTGGTTACTGGAGACCATAGACATCTACAACTTAAATGCGCCACCCACCTTGAGATATAAGTTCTAAGGGTCTCAGTATAGTTACAACGGCTGCCCCACCCTTCAAACCGAAACGCATTACTGCTTCACGGCAGAAATAGGCAGGGTGGTGGTACCTACCCGTGCGGACTCACAAGAGGTCCTACCACCAGTAATTACGCAAATTATAATTTTGCGGGTTTGATTTTTATTACACGATGTTATTCCTTCATCGTGGAAGTCAATCGTGAACATTTGTTGAGTACGTATTTCATTAGAAAAATTGGTACCCGCCTGAGATTCGAACACCGGTGCATCGCTCAACACGAATGCACCGGACGTCTTATCGCTTAGGCCACGACGACTAACACTGTATTATTACCCGATATTATTGCCTGGAAGTGGAATGTGAAAGCGTGCTTGTTTAGAAAAAATGGTGTTATAGTTAGTTCAGTGTGCTAAGTGCGAGTTTTAAACGCTCTAGATGCGTAAAAGTTAACTCTAATTTGTATGCAGTTGGAATTTTTGCCTACGTTTGCCGCTAGGGGCGCTGTTCCAACTTCATACAAATTTGAGTTAACTTTTACGCTATCGAGAACGTTGAAAAGCTCATACTCAAGCACACAGAAAAGTAAAATGTATGAAGAGTATTCATGATTAGATTTGGATATATGAAACACACGACACAAAGAAAATAAAATAGGTTTAGTATCAGTAGTAGCTTTTATTTATAATAAAACAACATATCTCACTTATTTTACAATCTTGTTATATCTGAAACAAAAGATTTTTTTAATCAGAGCCGTTGAACCTTCATTGCATGTTTTGTGCTTTTTTTCCATTTTTTCTACCTATTGAGAGACTATTTCAGCTTCTACTTGACGTGTAGGTGAGCTCACGGGGCTCAAACCGGAGTGTGTGAATTATCTTCTTTAAAATTTAAGTTGAAGAAGAAGAAGAAGAAGAAAATCTTTATTCGCCAGAAATATAGTTTACAAGATATTGTGGGTATAGGACATAGTTTCATATATTTCGCCTGTTTAGGCATGCGAAAATTTAACTTATGTTTATATTAATTCTAACACAAAATTTACTAAATACATCTATTTTTACATTCTATCACTTCTTATTCTAATATTTTATTATGTACAACATTTATCATTTAAAAATTCTTGCACACTATAATAAGCCTTATCTATTAGCCATAAATATAATTTTCTTTTAAAATGAGTTAGTGATAGATCTCTTATGCTGTTTGGTATCTTATTAAAGATTCTTATAGTCATATGATAACAGTTTGTATGGTAGTAGCGAGTATTTATATTTGGTAACATGAGTTTAGTAGGGTATCTTGTATTAAATTGACAGTACTCACCATACGATTTATATAATTGTGGGTGCTTTTTAACAAACAAACAACATTCTTGTATATATATGGATGGTGCAGTCAAAATATTATGTTTTTGGAAGAATGGTTTACAAGAAGTCAGAGGATGAATATTGCACATAGCACGAACACATTGCTTTTGTGCAATGAACACTCTATTTATGTGACTAGAATTTCCCCAGAGGGGTATACAGTATCTGATATTTGAGGCGACATATCCATGATAGGCCTGTAATGCAGTTTTTAGATTACATATTTTTGTAAGTCGCCAAAGTGCATATGAGAATCGATTAAGTTTACTACAAATAAGATCTATGTGAAGATTCCAACTACATTGATGATCCACATTTAATCCTAAAAATCTTATGCTATTACATTCATTTAGTGTGTTATTATTATAAGTTATATTTAAGTTATTAATAAACTTGTGTCTATTATAGAGTTGCATATATCTTGTTTTGTCTAAATTAGCTTTTAAGTTATTCTTATTCATCCAATCTATGACTTTACTAACAGTAGCATTTATATCATCATTTAAATCTAGTGTGGCATCTTTGGTGATTACAACGGCTATATCATCAGCAAATAAGCTGCATGGATAATGTATGTGTTCTGGGAGATCATTTATATAAATGATAAAGAGTAGCGGTCCTAAAATGCTCCTTTGTGGGACACCTACTTTATTATACGCTAATGAAGATTTAAAAGCCACTTCTTCATTGTTATTATCAATATCCCTAATTTCAACATATTGTTGTCTGTCGCTTAGATAACTACTATGCCATAATTATTACACTTCCGTAGAAGAATGTTATGGTCAACAAAGTCAAAGGCTTTGGTCATGTCAAAGAAAACTCCAACCGTGGGTATTTTTCTGTCTACATTTTCAGTAATTTTACTAAGGAGTATAAAAGCTGCTAGTGTAGTAGATTTGCCTTTTTGAAAACCGTGTTGTTCAAATTTTATAACTTCAGATTTATTAAGAAAAGTTGTGAGTCTAGAATGCATGATTTTTTCAAATATTTTTGCAAGTATAGGTATTAAAGTAATCGGTCGGTAGTTATTGATACATTCCTTATGCCCTTTTTTGTATATAGGTTTCACTATTGAGATTTTCAATTTATCAGGAAATGTACCTTCAGTTAATGAAAGATTGATAATATGACAGAGTATAGGTGTAATGACTATTGCACATTGTTTTAGTATAAAGGTGGGCAGTTCATCATAACCTGTTGATTTAGTATTATTGAGAGAATGAATTGTTTTCTAAATTTCCTCACATGTAGCTGGCATTAAAAATATACATGAACTAGATGTATTTGTGTTTTGTGTATTTATTGCTTGTATATTATTATAGTTCTTGTTTTCATCATTTGTTATTTCAATGTAAACGTCAGTGATTACTCTGCCATTATGTAAAATTTGTTTAATATTGCATTTGTTATTTGAATTAAATTTGTTGTCATTTTGCTTTATAATATTCCACGATGTCCGACATATATTACTAGATTTATTTATATGATGTTATTTTCTAATTTTTATGAAAATTAAACTTAATATAAATAACTTAACTTATAAACTAACTTATAAATAACTTATAAACTTTTAATGATACCAAAACCAGCCTAAGAGATTTTATTACAAGTCCGTACACACTATAATGTGAAAAGACTTTTTCCCCAACCTATTATACGGTCTGGCCCAAACACTCCATTATCGTTTACTACTGTTTTTTCCCTCACATCTCCATATAAATTGGACTATTTTTTTTTTTCCTACCTAAGCTGATAGATAGCCTTGAGAGGCTATTTCATAACCTTAACTAGCAGGTGAGCTCTCGGGGCTCAAACCGGAGTGCTGCTAACACTGGCCCTAGCAAGAGCAGTGCTTCGCCGAATCTACCACCGGAACGAAAACGCGACCCACTGAGAAGATCCGGCGAGAAACTCAGTGGGCTGTGTCTGTGGGTTAAGCTTTTGTTGATGACTGGTATTTATAATGAAAGAGTGTCTGAATGTAACTGATGGAAGAGTGTGAAGAGGTTTAAAATTGTACTTCACACTGTAACAGTATCTGAACGGGCCTTTAGTCTTATTGCTGCTAAATATATTTTACTTGTATTTGGAAGAGCAAATGATTCTATTCACTGCTGAATCGGTGTTAAAGTAATTATCCATAAAATAAAAGCCCACAAACATTTTGATTCAAACAAAGCTAATTTCAAAAGATTTAGATTAAATACATACATAATTATCGTGCTATTGTGCAGTTGACGTACCATATGACTTGCTTCTTCTTTTATTGATGTATAGGATATGAAACAGACATCCGATGATCAAGCCGACTACCAGTGCTCCGAGGATAGCGGCCACTAGTGCTTCTGTTGAATGGATTTTCTCTGATTCACTGAAACACAGCAACATTGTATTGTAATGCAATTACTTGCTACTTACACAGATCACTATTGAAGTCGTCGTGGCCTAAAGGATAAGACGTTCGGTGCATTCGTGTTGAGGGATGCACCAGTGTTCGAATCTCAGGCGACTGACAATTTTTGAATAATGAAATATGCACTCAATAAATGTTCACGATTGACTTCCACAGTGAAGGAATAGCATCGTGTAATAAAAATCAAACCCGCAAAATTACAATTTGCGTAATTACTGGTGGTGGGACCTCTTGTGAGTCCGCGCGGATAGACACCACCGCCCTGCCTATTTCTGCCGTGAAGCAGTAATGCGTTTCGGTTTGAAGGGCGGGGCAGCCGTTGTAACTATACTGAGACCTTGGAACTTATATCTCAAGGTGGGTTGTGCATTAACGTTGTAGATGTCTATGGGCTCCGGTAACCACTTAACATCAGGTGGGCTGTGAGCTCGTCCACCCACCCATCTAAGCAATAAAAAAAAAATAGAGATTACTTATATACAGTGTCATTGTTTTTCTGTGATTTTTATCAAGGGCACCTGGTCGGTAACATAATGAGGTAACGGCCCTAGATCGATAAACAGTTTGGCTGAATCTTTTTAACGGATCTCAGGACAATCGCTCTACACACAAAATAATGAAGTACGCGTGAAAATAGTTGAATAATTTGGCGATGCAGTTAGGCATTCATGATTTAACAGAATTAATGTGTAAAGAAAATCGTGTTTGTACTTTTTTATTTATTGACTAATTGACCCGCCAACGTTGAGACTTATAACCTAAGTTATAAGTTTCAGTTTTTACAGTACAACGGCTGCCCCATCCTTCCAAACGAAACACATTACTGCTTCACGGCAGAAGTAGGTATGATGGTGATATCTACGTTACATAAAGCGGTTTATCGAGTTGGGATCGTCCAGGCAAAGTCACTTCGCTCGATATGAATGCATCGGGCGTCTTATCCTTTAAGCCACTACGAATCGTGACATCTACTCACAACATAAGCGTTCACCTAAGAAAGAGAAGTCCTGGCGATTTGTAATACAGGTCTTTGTTGAACCCAATACAGACACTAGCTTTCTCAAGGGTTTTATTTTTAAGCTGATAAAGTTTTGTGAATTTTATCGGTGCTTTTTATTTTATTCTATAGCTTTAAGGGGGGTATTAAAATAAATTCTTTCTTACAATAAATTATGTATTATTTTTGCTACATATGAGTAACGGACGCACGGTTTACCTCGTTTCAAGTTACTTCCGCGACCCATAGGATACATGAGGCAACTATCGCTACTTAGTTTGAGGCACGAGGCTAAAGTTTCAACCGTATTTCTGTGTTCCCCTCAAAACTTGGGAACTCATGAAGATTTGTGAAATAAAGAAGCGGTGTGGTGGTACCTACCTGTCTGTTTCTACAAAACTCACTGGGCTTGTTTTTAGATTTCTGGTCTTTGATCCTGCTGCTCCTGTCCTGCCTGTAGGTCCTGTCTGTGGTCTAGTAGGTTCTGGCTGTGCTCCAGTTGATTCTGGCTGTGTTGCAGTGGGTTCTGGCTGTTGTCTAGTAAGTCCTGGCTGTGCTCCAGTTGATTCTGGCTGTGTTGCAGTGGGGTCTGGCTGTGGTCTAGTAAGTTCTGGCTGTGCTCCAGTAAGTCTTGGCTGTGCTCCAGTTGATTCTGGCTGTGTTGCAGTGAGTTCTGGTTGTTGTCTAGTAAGTCCTGGCTGTGCTCCAGTTGATTCTGGCTGTGGTCCAGTAGATTCTGGCCGTGGTCCAGTAGATTCTGGCTGTGGTCTAGTAAGTCCTGGCTGTGCTCCAGTTGATTCTGGCTGTGTTGCAGTGGTATCTGGCTATGGTCTAGTAAGTCCTGGTCTTGCACCAGTTGATTCTGGCTGTGTTGCAGTGGGTTCTGGTTGTTGTCTAGTAAGTCCTGGCTGTGCTCCAGTTGATTCTGGCTGTGTTGCAGTGGGTTCTGGCTGTGGTCTAGTAAGTCCTGGCTGTGCTCCAGTTGATTCTGGCTGTGGTCCAGTAGATTCTGGCTGTGGTCTAGTAAGTCCTGGCTGTGGTCTATTAAGTCCTGGCTGTGCTCCAGTTGATTCTGGCTGTGTTGCAGTGGGTTCTGGCTGTTGTCTAGGAAGTCCTGGCTGTGCTCCAGTTGATTCTGGCTGTGTTGCAATGGGTTCTGGCTGTTGTCTAGGAAGTCCTGACTGTGCTCCAGTTGATTCTGGCTGTGTTGCAGTGGTATCTGGCTATGGTCTAGTAAGTCCTGGTCTTGCACCAGTTGATTCTGGCTGTGTTGCAGTGGGTTCTGGCTGTTGTCTAGGAAGTCCTGGCTGTGCTCCAGTTGATTCTGGCTGTGGTCTAGTAAGTTCTGGTTGTGCTCCAGTTGATTCTGGCTGTGTTGCAGTGGGTTCCGGCTGTGGTCTAAAAGTCCTGTCTGTGGTGCAGTAGGTGCTGTCTCGGCTCCGGTAGGTTTCCGCCGTGGTCCATATAGTTGTTCAGGTGGTCGTATCGATCTAGCTATACGCGGTGATTCTGATAATTCTGTTTGTAATCCAGATGTTCCTTTCATTAGGTTCTCCACTGATGATATAGGCCATGGTTCTATTGTAGACAGTGGATTTAAATTTTCTGGGCTCCTTATGTACCTGAAAAGTACCAGTACTTTAGTTTGTGGTTCGTTTATTATTCTATAAACTATTCTAATAATTGTTTATTTGGATGAGTTTGTGTGTATTATTTTGTTCACTTTTATAATTAGGATGTCGAGGAATTTTTCTTTCCAATAGAAGACCAGCATGCTAGCAGGCAGCAGGCTGGTGGAAAGTCGTCACAGCTTTCAATGTTGATGAACTAAATGCACCACTCACACTTACACAATAGCCTTTTTTTATTGCCCTTGTAGTCAGTCGAGCATACGGCCCACCTGATGGTGAGTGGTTACCGTCGCCCATGGACTTCAGCAATGCCAGGGGCAGAGCCAAGCCGCTGCCTACCGTTAAGTACTCTCCACAAGCCTCGTTTGAAGAAGGATATGTCATAGCGCTCGGGATGCACCGTGGAGGGGAGCTCATTCCAAAGCCGGATGGTACGTGGCAAAAAAGATCTCTGGAAACGCACTGTGGATGAACGCAGTGGCTCCAGGTCGTATGAATGGTGGCGGGCGGTGCAATGGTAAAAACGAGATGATGGTATCATCTCAAACTATCCCCATGGAACATACGGTACAAAAGGCTCTTATTGACTAGTCATTATTAAAACCTACATATTTCGCATTAACGTATGCTACATTAGCAAGATATTTGCTGCCCAGTAGAGTCGATTGTTTAAGTGAACTTGCTATTTTATTGAAATATCTATAGGCAAATCCGTCGCCTATCAAATCGGTTACTAGACTAGAGTTATCTTGACTAAACTAAGCAATTGTTGTCGAAATTGACTTTTCATTGCATCGTAATTGGAGGAGATATTTGAGGCTGCGATCTCATGTTTCGATGCGGTCGGTGGAATTTACATTAAAAAATGCAGTAATTACTACACCAGACGCGAATTCGTTCACCGATCCCGGAATCAATAAAAAATAATTAATAATTTATGTACGCAAAGAGTAATGGTAAATTATTATTGAGTGCATTGGATGTGATCTGAAGTGACGTTCCGTGTTCGGAAATCCAGCCAAACATTCCTCATTGAGCTGGTTGATCAGCCAAAGTGTACTTAGCTAAAAACCGACAAGAGGCTACTTAGAGGTTAGTTGGCTGTAGAGCTAATCTATATTTTAATACATGAGCAAAAACTTTGTATCCCTTTTTACGAAAATTGCGCGGACGGAGGAGTATGAAATTTTCCACACTTATAGAGAATATCGAGAAGAAGTGCACAATGCTAATATTTTTTTAAAATAATGCCTTAAAGATACATTAAATCAATAAAGAATACATTACACACACTATACCTATACCATGTATTTGACGCACACACGCATGCATAATATTTATTGTCAATTTTTGTTTTTTACGTCTGTTGTCAAATTGAGAATAGTTTAAATATTGTTTGTCTTTATACATATTTTTTTATAGTGTAGCCTTGGCGAAATTTGTGATTAAAGAAGTATAAAATACAATCATAACAGTGTACAAAGCTACAATTCCAATTAATAATATTATTGGGAAATGATCCGCGACAGACCTGTAAGTTGTGAGATAATTAGAACAAACATCTATTTCACTTAAAATTAGTTCAGCGCAATCAGGTTAAGCCATAATAAACAGAGTTTGTTTACCCGGCATCCTTGCACGCCTCGGCCAGAAGAATGTACATCGCTCTATGAAAAAAGAATAGTTTATAGTCACTACTCATTCATTACTAACAGTAAACGAACATCTGAAGGTATAACTGGTGATAGGACCTCTTGTGAGTCCACACGCGTTGTTGCCACCGCCCTGCCTATTTTTGCCGTGAAGCAGTAATACGTTTCGGTTTGAAGGGCGGAGCTGCCGTTGTATCTATACTTGAGACCTTAAACTCATATCTGCAGGTGGGTGGCGACATTTATGTTGTAGATGTCTATGGACTCCAGTAACCACTTAACACCAGGTGGGCTGTTAGCTCGTCTAACCTAAAGTCTAAGTTTAAAAGTCTAAGCTAAAAAAAAATTATATCTTATTTATATGTATTCTTCGGTTACCGAATATTGAATAGTAATGCACGTTTAAAGACAGATAACTTGGAATGGTAATACAGAAACTACATGGACATTGCTGATGACCATGAGCGGCAATGATAGCCCAGAATTAGTTCAGCGTGTATAAAAAAAAATTGCAAATTGTTTTACTAAAACTGTTTTTTTATATTTTATAGCTCTTGCCCGCGACTTCGTCCGCGTGGAATAGTTGCTTTGGTATAACGTTAAATTTTACCCACGACTCCATTTGCGTAGAAGTAAGTATATTTTTGAATAATAGAATGTTAAGGAGATATTTAAGGTACCATGCTCCGCTCATATTGGTCTTAGCGTGATGTTATAAATAGCCTATAGCCTCCCTCAATAAATGAGCTATCTGACACTGAAAGAATTTTTCAGATCGGACCGGTAGTTCCTGAGATTAGCGCGTTCAAACCAACAAACTCTTCAGCTTTATAATATTGGTATAGATTATTTGTATATAAAAAAATGATTTTTATTGTGTATGTATATTGTACTTTCTGAGTTAAAAGTTTTTCAATGCACTATTTGTATCTGACTGGCTTAAAAACAATTACAATAAAAAAAAAAAACAAAAAAAAACGGATTCCGTTAATTGTGCAAGTATGTATATTGTTTTTCTGTCTGTCCAAAGTGTATGAAACTAACAAAGAAACTCAATATATTATGCTGCATGTAGACAAGAAAATACGGTATAAGTCGCCGAAAATTTGTGACCTTGCACGGTGTCGGTAATAGAAGTGAATGGTCGCGTCGGTTCGATCGTTTGTCGTCTATTTTATGTACATACTAGCTAGCCCGGCAAACGTTGTTTTAACATATAAATTATTTCTAGGAAAGATAAATAACCTAGATACCGACTGCAGCGCCATCTGCCGGGCTGATTTGTAAATCTAAACCATTCTCGAATCCCCCTGAAGGTACACAGAAAATTTCATAAAAGTCGGTCCAGCCGTTTAGGAGGAGTTCACACAGAAGAAATCTATACTAATATTAATATTATAAAGAGGAAAGATTTGTTTGTTTGCTTGTATTGGATAGACTCCGAAACTACTGAACCGATTTTAAAAATTCTTTCACTGTTTGGAAGCTACCCTATTCCCGACTGACATAGGCTATATTTTTTTTTAATTAAGGATCCTTACTAAATCTCTAATGATGTAACGCAACGTGTACAAAAATTACCTAAAATATTCTTTACATCGCGTGCGCTACGAAAACTATTGATGATAGAATAAAGTAATCTATACTATAATATTATAAAGAGGAAACATTTGTTTGTTTGTATTGAATAGGCTCCGAAACTACTGAACCGATTTTAAAAATTCTTTCACTGTTTGGAAGCTACACTATTCCCGAGTGACATAGGCTATAATAGTTTTTTTTATTTGGGATCCTTACTAAAACTCCAATGAAGTAACGCAAGGTGTACAAAAATTACCTAAAATATTCTTTACATCGCGTGCCCTGTGAAAACTATTGATGATAGAATAAAAAAATGTACTATGACTTTGTAAAACACATTATTATTTACAAAAAGTGTAGCGGCAGCACATGTCTGACTATTATAGTGATGCCACAATAAGTGTTCATTTATTTAAAAAAAAGAAAACATCGTCAAATATCGTTTTTTATAATTTATAATTGCAAGCTTTTTTATAATTGTGGGCTTACTGGTGGCCCGGAGGCCTTTCCAGTTTCATAAGGACAGGTGGGCGAGCAAGGGCTCAACCAGTACAAGGAAGCTCTAACTCAATAAACTCAATGGCTTTTGTTTTGTATGTATGATCTTTTTACGATAGTTAGAAAACTAATAATATAAAAAAAAAAGATAAAAACAATTTTCTACTTTTAGAGACCTGACGCAAATATAAGGGTTAATGTGTGCGTATTATAATTTTTTATTTTTAAAGTTTTGTTAAAGACCCGAGCGAAGCCGGAGCGGGCCGCTAGTATACTTAGTCTGGCCATAAATACTGTTACAATTAAAAATAAAAAAATTCTATTGCGAATAACATTTATTACTTTTACAGTGTGTTAGTTTAATACATAAATATAAAACAATTTAAAAGGTATTAAAAAGGTAATTCGAAGTGGTCTCCATTAGCTGCAATACAGTCCTTTAAACGTAGAGGCCAGTTATCAATAGAAGCACGCACTCTTTCCATGGGAAAATTTTTCACTGCCAATCGTATGGATTGTTTTAGGGACTTCAAATTATCATGGCGTTTAGAGCAAGCCGTACTCTCTAAAACTGACCATAAATCATAATCCTGCGGATTAAGATCGGGACTAGACGACGGCCAGTCTTCAGCTCTGATGAAGTCCGAAACGTTCGTTTCCAACCAAGACTGCGTAGACCGAGCTTTATGACCTGGCGCCGAGTCTTGCTGGAAGGACCATTCTTGATTATTGAACATGGTGTTGTTAAGGGGCTTCACTACCTTCTCAAGAATGGTATCTTGATACACTTGTGCTGATGNGGATTAAGATCGGGACTAGACGACGGCCAGTCTTCAGCTCTGATGAAGTCCGAAACGTTCGTTTCCAACCAAGACTGCGTAGACCGAGCTTTATGACCTGGCGCCGAGTCTTGCTGGAAGGACCATTCTTGATTATTGAACATGGTGTTGTTAAGGGGCTTCACTACCTTCTCAAGAATGGTATCTTGATACACTTGTGCTGATGTTTTGATACCTTTTTCACAAAAGTATGGCTCAGTCACTCCTTCATAGCTAATACCCCACCAAACCATCACTGAAGTCGGATAGTGCCCACGTTGCACTCTGTCGACTAATTGGGAAGCTTCCTTAGAGCTTTGAGCATTAATACGGTCATTTTGTTTGTTAAAATGTTGCTCAATTGTAAAAAAATTGTCATCCGTAAACAAAAAATTTCTATGACCTCCCTTTGCGTACCGCTTCAGTAGTTGTTTCGATTTTACCACCTTATTCTCTTTTAAATTATCAGTTAAGAAATGACCAGTACGTCTCTTATAGGCTGCAAGTCCTAAGTCATCTTTTAAAATACGCGAGATGGTTCTAGGTGCTATCTTCATCTCCCGGGATAAAATCTTTTGCTTTCGGACAGGATTTCTTCGAATTCTTTCCCTTACTGCATTGACCACCTTTTTCGTACGGACACTACGTGGACGGCCAGATCTTTTTCTGTCACAAACAAGGAGGTCTCATTGCACCTACTAATAGCCCGGTACACAAACATTTTACTAATACCAAGCGTATGGAGAGTTTTAAAAATTGCATTTGGCTCCATACCTACTTTGAGTAATGCAATCACAGCGATTCGGTTCTCTTTATCACCCCACTCCATTTTAATATCGCAAAATATATTGTACAATGTATTGGCGCCAAAATGAGAAAACTAAATGAGCAATCATATAAAAATGACAGATTCCAAATTCAAATGTAATATTTTGTTTATTTTTAATTGTAACAGTATTTATGGCCAAACTAAGTATATATAAAGATGAGAAGGGTCAATTCCTTCTTTGTCGTCTGGTTCGTATCCGTCTTTTAGGAAGGCAGTAAAAGTACCGCCTGCCCATGCCGCTAGTCACGTTCGCCCTCGTGCAATTTCTCACTCTGTTTCTTTTCGAATTCTTGTCAAGTTTATGCATTTTTTTTCTTACCTATGCTAATAATGATGGAGCGGCTATTTCAGCTTCACCCTAACGTATAGGTGAGCTCACGGGGCCCAAGCCGGGAGTGTTGCTAACACTGGCCCCAGCGAGAGCAGTGTTTCGCAGAATCTACCACCGGATCGCAAACGCGACCCACTGAGAAGATCCAGCGAGAAACACAGTGGGCTGTGTCTATGGGTTTAATTAATCTATGTCCAGTCGTTGTAGGTCTTATATCCTGTCAAAGAGGTTGCACGCCACAACAATTAGCATATTTATGTTCAAGGTTCAAACGTCGAAGATGTAGAAGATTGTTTTGCTCGAATTTTTATGTATAAAGTCGATGCCAATTTTGAAAAAGTCAAACAAGTTCGGTGTATTAGTACTCAACACAAAGCAAGAGTTAGGAGTTGACCAAAAGCAGTATCGAGTTATTTCAAAAAGTCTGATTAAACAAAAATTATCGATTTTTGGAGCTCACTGAGCAAAACCTAATGAATCGTGTACTCATTGGCGATTCTCTATTCGTGACGTAACAAAACTGCTGTGATTAAAGTCGAAGTGAATCGTTATTTTATTATTAAAAAAAACGATTCACTTCTACTTTAATCACTTTAATCAATAATTTATATATTAATACGTGAAGCAAAAACTTTGTATCCCTTTTTACGAAAATTGCGCGGACGGAGGAGTATGAAATTTTCCACACTTATAGAGAATATAGAGAAGAAGTGCACAATGCTAATATTTTTTTTAAATAATGCATAAAAGATACATTAATCAATTAAGAAAATATTAAAGACACTACATACCATGTATTTGACGCACACACGCATGCATACTATTTATTGTCAAAATTTTGTTCTTGACGTCTGTTGTCAAATTGAGAATAGATTAAATATTGTTTGTAGTCTTGGCGAAATTTGTTATTATAGAAGTATAAAATAGAATCATAATAGTGTACAAACTTATTATACAATTCCAATTAATTATAGTCGAATTTCGACTACTGCGGGACCTCTAGTGATTATTATTTTATAATTCTTATCATTGTTGATTAAACAATGGAATTTTTTACGGCTATGGCGATAATATCACCATCTCAAATACGTTTACAAGCTATCGAACAAATGTGTACATAACTAAATGTTATATTTAAATAAATTAAACCACAAAACATAATATTATGTTAGATTAGTACATATTTGAAATACGAAAAGCGTTATCCTCGACCTTATAAACAATATTTTATGTTAGTATTGAATCCGATATACATTTAAAGTTTATTATTTACCTAGCGACCCGCCCTCGCTTCTCCTCGGAAACTGTAATTTATTATTGATTTCTCCACTATTAAATGGATGTTATTATACATATAAACCTTCCTCTTCAATCACTCTGTCTATTAAAAAAAGCGTGGGGTGCTTTTTAAGATACTATTGAAATAATTATTCTTCTACTCATATCTGTCTGAAAAATATTTATAACTAATAACACCATGCACACCACGGTTTTTTTAATGGATAGAGTGATTGAAGAGGAAGGTTTATATGTATAATAACATCCATTAAATAGTGCAGAAATCAATAATAAATTACAGTTTCCGAAGCGAAGCGAGGGCGGGTCGCTAGTTAAATAATAAACTTTAAATGTATATCGGATTCAATACTAACATAAAATATTGTTTATAAGGTCGAGGATAACGCTTTTCGTATTGCAAATATGTACAAATCTAACGTATGTTTTGTGGTTTAATTTATTTAAATATAACATTTAGTTATGTACGTATTTGTTCGATAACTTGTAAACGTATTTGAGAAGGTGATCATATTATCGCCATAGCCGTAATAAAATTCCATTGTTGTCTTAAGAAATCGACTTTAATCAACAATGATAACAATTATAAAATAATAATCATTGTTGATTAAAGTGATTAAAGTCGAAGTGAATCGTTTTTTTTAATAATAAAATAACGACTTATATTATAAGATATAGACTTATATAAATTATAATTTATGTAATTACTGGTGGTAGGGCCTCTTGAGAGTCCGCGCGGATAGGTACCACCACCCTGCCTATTTCTGCCGTGAAGCAGTAATGCGTTTCGGTTTGAAGGGTGGGGCAGCCGTTGTAACTATACTTAGATCTTAGAACTTATATCTCAAGGTGGGTGGCGCATTTACGTTGTAGATGTCCATGGGCTCCAGTAACCTCTTAACACCAGGTGGGCTGTGAGCTCGTCCAGCCGTCTAAGAAAAAAAAAAAGACTTTCACTCGATATAATGCTATCATTATTAATTGCCTGAATATAATGCATGCTTACCCTTTGTCATTTAATTTGAATGTTGAATCGATCCACTGAAAATAAGAACAGAGACGTTAAAAAATTATGTATTTAATAAAAACTTAGATAATGAAAGTCAAATTTTAAATGGTGTTAGAACTAACCTTTGATCCTTGCGAATCGATTGGACTGTAGTTACTGAAAATAAATGTACTGTATTATGTTTAAGTTTTAAGTAGCATTTAAAAGTTTTCTTTATTGTTATAGCTTAGATGTATGGACGAGCTCACACGGCCCGCCTGATGGTAAGTAGCCACTGGAGCCTATAAACGTCAATAAAGTAAATGCCATCACATAGCTTCAGTCGTCAATGAGTTCTTTACAGTTTTTAGATATCTGAGCCAGGCCAAGGGGCAACGAAAAGCCGCCGTGTTTTTAATAAGCTTTTATTAGCTTGTGACGTATGTATGTAACGGAATCTTTGAACTTGATTTTGACCCCCTTCAAAACGTCGGATTAACTCGAAATTTGGTATACTTATTAAGGACCGAAGACAATTCAATATTTAAAAAAATTGAAAAAAATTAAATTCAACTAAAAAAAGAAAAACAAATAATAGTTTAAACAACTAACAAAATACGCTTTTATACAAAATCCAACTAAAAATAGGAAATAAATTTTAATAAATTTGAATTAAAAATAGTGTAAGAAAAAATGATTTTATTGTAATAAAAGCGTATTTTGTTAGTTTTTTTTAACTATTATTTTTTAAAGTTAACGTCGTCGTGGCCTATACGATAAGACACCCGGTGCATTTGTATCAGGCGATGCGACTGTATCGGCGTTCGAATCCCGCATTCAGTTATCAATTTTTCTAATTAAATACGTACGTACTTAACAAATGTTCACGATCGATTTCCACGGTGAAGGAATTATTAGGTAGTTTGAAGGGTGGGGTAGCCATTGTAACTATACTGAGACCTTAAAACTCATGTCTCAAGGTGTGTGGCGCATTTACGTTGCAGATGTCTATGGGCTCCGGTAGCCACTTAGCACCAGCTGGACCGTGAGTTCATCCACCCAGATAAGCAAAAAAAAAAACTAGCAAATGCCGGTTAGGGATCGCTTTATGCTGGTATGCTCAAAGAACACCATTGCCCATGCGACATAGAGACCAGAGAAGACAGGGGATGGTGTTATTTTAGACTGCGACACGGTCTATATAAATGAAAATATCTTACCTGTCCCTCGGAACGATGCTCTTACAATGAACTCTGATGCAGAACAGCATGGAGAACTGAAATTGAACAATTAGTATAGAATTGAAAGATTAGTGCTAAATTTGTTGCGGCCCTGGTCGCCGATTACACCTTAAAGTCACCGTCCTCGTCGAAAGCGAACTAACCCTTTTTTTTTTTGGTCAGGAGGAAATCGCCAGAGTTCCGCCCTCCACTAGGTATGGAGGGCGGGGTATGTCAGAGTCGAACTGACTAAAACCTCTTGTCGCTCAACAACCAACGTCCAAACCTCGCATGAGACAGAACTCATAAAAAGGCAAAGGGGGGAAAGTGAAGCGTTTAGTGCGGAGCACATCTCTCCCATCACCCTCGAACTAACCCATAGATACGAGCCACTGAGTTTCTCGCCGAATTTTCTCAGTGGGTCGCGATTCCGATCCGGTGTTAGACTCTGAGAAGCACTGCTGTTGCCTAGGGCTAATGTTAGCATATTCATTCAGGATGAGCCCGTGGGCTCATCTACCCGTCCGGGCGTAGCTAGAATAGCACTTTAAGCTTAGGCGGGGACAGCAACTGTAGCTTAGAGTTACCTTCCATTCATATAGTGATTGCTTAAATGGGTGGATGAGTCCCACAGCCCACCTGGTGTTAAGTGGTTACTGGAGCCCATAGACATCTACAACGAAAATGGTCCACCCCTCTTGAGATATAAGTTCTATGGTCTCAATATAGTTACAACGGCTACCCCACCCTTCAAACCCAAACGCATTACTGCTTCACTGCGGAAATAGGCGGGTTGGTGGTACCTATCCGTGCGGACTCACAAGAGGTCCTACCGCCGGTAAGTACATTTCGATTGAGACTTCGACCGTCTCCTTGGGTAATTGCTCAACACCAGATGATGTTGGGACTATTCAACACATCTAAATGATGAAAAAGTTAGGTTTTTCAAATTATTTTTAGGTAATTCGTTTTGGTTGAATAAAACTGTTTATTTACCAGAATAATCTTGAGGAGTCTGTAGTTCGGTTCCATTGTCGTGAGCCTCGCTGAGCGTTCCGAAATGTATAATATATCACTCTTCAACGAACGATCACGAACTGATCGATGTATGTATTTAACTAATGCACATCATATCGGTTGTGGTTTTATATATTCAAATATTAAATTCCTATTCTTTTTTATTTTCCTGTTGTAATCGAAATATTTATTAAAAAATTAAAATGGCATTTACTTTAAGCAGGGAAAACCGGCACATTGTGCGAGCACGTCGTAACATCCACCATCAATTCAACTTAATTCTGACACAAAAGATTCAGGCTTAAGGAGCAAGACGAACTTTTTAATAATACCATTGAGAATGTGAATGTATTTGTCAAGGGATTCTTATTGCACCGATAGCCAATCTGATGTTCAGTGGTCACCAGGACTCGTAGACATTACAGCACGAATGCGGCCAGAAATCGTTGAGACGCGAAGGCCCAAGTCTGAGCTGTATTGTGTAACGCCTGTCTTACCCTACCAAGCGTAGGTACCGTTTGATATTTGCGGCAGCAGTAGCCAAGATACCGGCTCTTACCCGTGCGAGTCCCAATCCTACGACTGCCGATTATGCTTATCATTCCTTCATAGTGGAATACGTGTTAGGTACGTATGGCAGTAAAATTGGTAGCAGCAGCGTGATTTGAAGCCAGGCACATTCGGATTGCAATGACTTCATTCGGTGTCTTGTCTCAGGCCACGGACGGCCGCTAATGGGCGCATTGATCACTGTGCGCCTCTCGACCTCGACAAAGAAGGATCGGATACCCTCCACGCTCCAACGCTAGAAATCGCACGCGAGATAGAGACTTTCCTATTTTCTTAGAGAATGAATAAAACTATGAGTATTCTTCTCATGACCTATGCAAGTACAGTGTTGGCCCACGTGGCGCGCACACACATTAAACATCTGGGACATTGGGTCATTGTTTGGACGCTTGCAGATGACGTTGATATTGAAAGAGAGCACCGGGCGTTGTCAGTTAGGGGCAATATGCTGGCTCACAGGTTTGCACGTTGTACGCCCCAACTTTTATTTATTTTTATTGCTTAGATAGGTGGACGAGCTCACAGCCCACCTGGTATTAAGTTTTTTTTTTTTTTTTCTTAGATGGGTGGACGAGCTCCCACCTGGTGTTAAGTAGTTACTGGAGCCCATAGACATCCACAACGTAAATGCGCCACCCACCTTGAGATACAAGTTCTAAGGTCTCAAGTATAGTTACAACGGCTGCCCCACCCTTCAAACCGAAACGCATTACTGCTTCACGGCAGAAATAGGCAGGGTGGTGGTACCTACCCGCGCGGACTCACAAGAGGTCCTACCACCAGTAAAAAGTGGTAAAAAAAAACCAGTAAGTGGTTACTGGAGCCCTATTATTATTATTCTACGACGTAAATTCGCCACCCACCTTGAGATATAAGTTGTAAGGTCTCAGTATAGTTACAACGGCTGCTCTACCCTTCAAACCGAAACGCATTACTGCTTCGAACTCGTTGATTACGCCGAAGAGTTATAAGAAAATGTTACAGAAGGCTTACGGTGGATCGACTTTATCAAAAACGTGTGCTCATGAGTAGCAGTACTAAGCGTTCCAAAGCGGTCGAGATGTGATGGAGGATTTGGTTCGCTCTGATAGGCATTAACGTCTGGAACTGAAGTTGACATCGTAAGAGTGAAGAAAATAGTGACTGAAACTCCTCATTCAAGTTTGTGGGAGATAGCCGCCGAATTTTCTCAATCTCACTAGTCGATTCGTTCAAATTTTTTTTTTACACCATATAAACGGTTCATACATTCAGTACTAGCGACCCGCCCTCGCTTCGCTTCGGAAACATTAAATTTTATTATTGATAGTTGAGTCCTGTGATGTTGCCCGCGGTTATTGTCATACCGCGGGTGACGCCGCGAGGCGAAGCTAGTCTAAAAAAGCTACTCCTTGTATCATCAGCTACCTGTCAGTGAAAGTCCCGTCAAAATCGATCCAGCCGTTCCAGAGATTAGCTGGAACAAACAGACAGACAGACGAAAATTGTAAAAAATGTTATTTTGGTGTATGTATCGTATATATACTTAGTCTGGCCATAAATACTGTTACAATTAAAAATAAACAAAATATTACATTTGAATTTGGAATCTGTCATTTTTATATGATTGGGCGCCAATACATTGTACAATATTTTGCGATAGAGTGGGGTGATAAAGAGAACCGAATCGCTGTGCATTGCATTACACAAAGTAGGTATGGAGCCAAATGCAATTTTTAAAACTCTCCATACGCTTGGTATACTTTTGTGAAAAAGGTATCAAAACATCGGCACAAGTGTATCAAGATACCATTCTTGAGAAGGTAGTGAAGCCCCTTAACAACACCGTGCTCAATAATCAAGAATGGTCCTTCCAGCAAGACTCAGCGCCAGGTCATAAAGCTCGGTCTACGCAGTCTTGGTTGGAAACGAACGTTTCGGACTTCATCAGAGCTGAAGACTGGCCGTCGTCTAGTCCCGATCTTAATCCGCTGGATTATGATTTATGGTCAGTTTTAGAGAGTACGGCTTGCTCTAAACGCCATGATAATTTGGAGTCCCAAAAACTATCCGTACGATTGGCAGTGAAACATTTTCCCATGGAAAGAGTGCGTGCTTCTATTGATAACTGGCCTCAACGTTTAAAGGACTGTATTGCAGCCAATGGAGACCACATCGAATAAGCTTTTTATACTTTAAATTTATGTATTAAACTAACATATTGTAAAAGTAATAAATGTTATTTGGCATACAATTTTTTTTGTTTTCCTTTGTAACAGTATTTATGGCCAGACTAACTATTCATATGCATGTAGTAAAAAGCGGTTATTTCAATATTACAAACAGACACTCCAATTTTATTTATATGTATAGATGCGCTCTTCATTATGGTCGGTACAAGCCCTAACAAATTCCATCGTGCACTGGATAATATGACTCCAGCCGACTTCTTTTTTTTAACTAAACTCAAATTATCACTTCGTGCCAGCCGTTTTCATTCGCTAGAAGAGTATAAGGCAGAATTCGGCGCGAGAACAGAAGACGATTTCAGAAAAAAAAGCGTCTAAAAAGTTTTGATGATTAGATTATTTGTTGGTGTAAGTAGGTGTAAGTACCACTTCTGAAGGGGCATACTTTGAAGGATACAATAAATTTTAATGATTTACTAACATTTTGTGTAAAATTGATCTTTTCGCGGAACTTATTTGACAGAGCAGTATTTTGGTATGGGCTTAAAATTCGAAAATTACTTAACACTAGTGGCCCCGCAGTAGTCGAAATCCGACTATAATTAATTGAAATTATAAGTTTAAACATTATTATAGTTTTATTGTCAAACGCTATTATAATTCGATAAAATAATCACAGTATTCGCCAAAACTGCACTATAGATCAATAATATTAAAGAAAAACAGTATTAATCTATTTTCAATTGGACCACAGACTTTAAACATTAACAAAAGTTTCCCAATTGACAGTAAAGAAAGAGTATATTTTTATGTATGTGTTGTGTCAAATACATGGTAGTGTGTGTAATGTTATCTTTATTGATTTAAAGTATCTTTATGCATTATTGTAAAAAAATATTAACATTGTGCACTCCTCCTATATTCTCTACAAGCGGTCTGCTCCGGCTCCGCTCGGGTCTTTAACAAAAGTTTCAACGATATTTATTTGACGTTGTTGATTTTTCTATACTAATATTATAAAGAGGAAAGATTTGTTTGTTTGTTTGTTTCGAATAGGCTCCGAAACTACTGGACCGATTTGAAAAATTCTTTTCCCATTAAAAGCCGACATTGTCCCTGATGAACATAGGCTACTTTTTAAAAAAAAAAAATTATTTTATTTTTTTGGTTTCATGTGTGTTTTAATGTTTCCGAAGCGAAGCGAGGACGGGTCGCTAGTATTTAATAAAAGAACACTTATGCGGCATAACTATAATAGTAAGATGTATGCTGTCGCGACGCTTTTTGTAAATAACAATGTGTTCTACAAAGTCGTAGTACATTATTTTATTCTATCATCATTAGTTTACACAGGGCACGCGATGTAAAGAATATTTTAGGTAATTTTTTACACCTTGAGTTACATTATTGGAGTTTTAGTAAGGATCCCTAATTTTTTTCAAAAAAGATTATAACCTATGTCACTCGGGAATAGTGTAACTTCCAAAAAGTGAAAGAATTTTTCAAATCGGTTCAGTAGTTTCAGAGCCTATTCAATCAACAAACAAACGAACAAATCTGTCCTCTTTATAATATTAGTATAGATAAGTGAAAGATATTTCATACTCCTCCGTCCGCGCAATTTTCGTAAAAAGGGCTACAAAGTTTTTGCTTCACGTAATTAATATATAGATTAACGTGGCAGTACATGTTTCAGTTAAGAGGGAAAAAAACCACGTTTTCCTTGTTGCTACAATATTTATCGAAATTTTAAATTGTATTCCGCAAGATTATCTTGAAAATGTTGTTAGTGTTGTATAATTATTTTTTTAATATCTTATATATTGCTTAGTCGGTTGGACAAACTCACAGTCCACCTGGTGTTAAGTGGTTACCGGAGCCTATAGACATCTACAACGTAATTTCCGCCACCCACCTTGAAATATAAGTTCTAAGATCTCAGTATAGTTACAATGAGGACTTATATTATAGGAATTACTATTAACTGAAGTCTTGCGACGCACATATGCGGTTCAGGAATCGAATCGCCCAAATGGTATTTTCTCGATGTATAGCTTGAGTTTATTTAAACGAGGTTTGAAAAGAATCCTTGCGACTGCGGTCTGGCTGTTTCCTGAAATGTCCATGCACTACTAAATCACGTGGGACTCATATAAGGCATTAAATAATTGAGACTCTCTCGGTTCTCTTTTTTTTTTTATTGCCCTTGTAGGCCTACGAGCATACGGCCCACCTGATGGTGAGTGGTTACCGTCGCCAATGGACTTCAGCAATGCCAGAGGCAGAGCCAAGCCGCTGCCTACCGCTAAAATTGGTTCATTGGGCCCATTAGGAGGAATTTTTTTATTTTTTTTATTTTTATTGCTTAGATGTGTGGACGAGCTCACAGCCCACCTGGTGTTAAGTGGTTACTGGAGCCCATAGACATCTACAACGTAAATGCGCCACACACCTTGAGATATAGTTCTAAGGTGTCAGTATAGTCACAACGGCTGCCCCACCCTTCAAACCGAAACGCATTACTGCTTCACGGCAGAAATAGGCGAGGCGGTGGTACCTACCCGTGCGGACTCACAAGAGGTCCTACCACCAGTAATTACGCAAATTATAATTTTGCGGGTTTGATTTTTATTGCACGATGTTATTCCTTCACCGTGGAAGTCAATCGTGAACATTTGCTAAGTACTTATTTCATTAGAAAAATTGGTACCCGCCAGCAATACATACAGCAGGAAATACATGCTAATGAGTTTTTTGTATATGCGTGTCACTTATGTTAATATTATGGTGATTAAAACCTAATCGTATCGCTAGTTGCGACCACACAAAATAATATTCTAGAGATAAACGAAATTTGTTTTCTCAATATTTTATTTATTTATAATTTTTACGAACACTAAATAATTTTGTGTAAATATAATTAAAATGTTTTATTGGAATCAAAATCTTTGGTATTCAAAAACTTATTTTAATGCCATCTACCAGTAGACAATAGTACTAAAAGTTGATTTTCAAACCGAAGTAGATAATTGGATAACATAAAGTCATAATTCCGTCACAGCTTCGCCGTTCATGTTTAATATTTCCACCGCGTGTTCTGACGGGGGTCTCCAGCAAGGGATCTCGGCGTACAGCGGTTCTGATGTCGTGTTATCGATAATGTCGAGTCTTGCTTCTCTTTTTAAAGATTCAATAATTGTTTCGTCGGTCATGCAATGCGTACGTAGTTCAGTGCAACACGTCATAGATGGCGCTAGTGAGCAGCGTCCATCTATCGATAAATTGTGACTCCTCCTAGGCAAATGGTCGTAGTGACATTCCAAAATATCTAAAAAAAGTAACATTAGGCTTTACTAGTGATCAAATTATTGTTATTTAACCGTAATTGTTGATGATTCAAGATTTAGATACATTTTTAAGCTATTCGCTTGCGTAGGCATATTAAAGAAAAACACAAATTTTATTATTTACTAGTCAACACAAAAACTACATATTATGTCATATATTTATTTACCTCTAAAGTTTTCGAGCATAATTGGCGAAATCGATTGAACTACGACCGGTCTCATGAACTGTTTCAAGTTACGATCCAAAGTTGAGATCGGTTGGTAGTGACACGACAGTCCCGTTGAAGGTAATTCTGCAAAATAAAATTTAAAAAGATCTATCAATTTATAAGCTATGTTTTAATTAACAACTTAACTTAATTAACAACTAACGACCCTTAAGTAATTGAGCTAATTAACCATCAATACCTAATAGGTAGATTGAAATTTAGGTGGGCTTAAAATAAATCGAAGCCATACTATGCATAAGAAGAGCCGGTTTTAGTGTGGTTTGTGAGGGAGCTTTAACTATGAATGTGGAAGGCTTTAGAGGAAGAGGTAGACCTAGGAAGAAATGGATGGATTGCGTGAAAGACGAGGGAGCAGACGACACAGGAGAATGATGATGATGAAGAGCTGCTTCTCACTTTTTCATCTTATCGCACTAATAAAATAGACTTACTAACCTGGCAATGGCGAATGGAAAATACTCCTCACATAAGGTGGCGGTGCATCATCATTATGTGGAATATCTTGCATTCTATCATCCGTCTTCCTGACTTCGTCATATCGTGGTCTTTTGCATCTCTCAATCATTACAATAACAACGGCTACCGTGATTATAACTATCATTATACCAACCGCTATGCTGACTACCGACGTTAAGTCCACGGAAGACCTTCCCATTTCTTTGTCTCCCATCACAGCTGTTATGTGTTCAGGCTCTGTCAAAATATGAAATATTTCTTCATCCACTGGGTTATCCGTCGTCACTATGTGTATAAAGTTAGACTTTTCATTTCCCTTAGTTGAGTTGTTACTGGCTGTTTTATTAGCTGTTTTTGTAGAACTTGCAATTTTCTCTGTAGTATGTTCATTAAGTGAACTTGTTACTTCGATCATGCGATTAGTTTTGTTATCTGTTAATCGTTTTGCTGGTACCGGCGTGCTTTTTAATCTATTGGTTATTTGTGGTGTCGTAAATGAAAAGTTATCTGTCTTAGTTATTGGCTTTACGGTTATTTGCACGGGGATTGGCTTAGTGAATCCTTCGGTTGTGTGTTGAGAGCGTGTTGCGTTCTGTTTCTGGGTCAAATAAGTCACAGTGGTTAAGGCTATCCGCTTAAATGTTACATAAGACACTGACGTGGGTATTATGGACACTATTATTGTCTTCGGTGTTGTGTTCGGATTGTCATTATTGGCCGCAATCCTGTGTCTCGATACATCGTATATCGTTTTCTTAGATTCAAAAGCATCACCTTTTTGCGCCGGCTTTATCCATATTTCTTTGGGTTTAAAATTGGTAGTTGTTAGCCGCGTGGTAGATTCTGTTTTTTTAGGTAATTCGCTTAGAATTTTTGTTGTAGCTGTATTTGTAATATTGTTCAAACTAGTCGAATTTGATGATAGATCATTATTTGTTTCGGTCCGAAAAACGCTTTGGCTTTTCGTTGTCATCTTAATTGACTCAGTGGTTGTTTGTAAAGTTTTTTGTTCTTCACTAGTAATATCTATGACTCCCATTTCTGTCGTAGCATTTAAACGAAGAGTGGCAGTAGAATTTTCAATCATAATCTTTGTGGTTATTACAGTAATGTCTGTTGTAGACTCCGTGGTGACAGAAGTGGTAGGTCGCTGTCTATTTTCCATTTGTCTGTTTATATTTTGATTAGCATTAATGCTGCTTCCTTTGTTAATTGAAGATTCGGTTGTGTAGATTTCATTGCTGGTCGCGTTCGTAGTTTGTATCTCAGTTCTTTGCGTAGTATTTTCTATTATAGTGTCCTCGAAGTCAACGGTCTTATAAGTGGTCGAAGCAATTTTCGTTAGAGTTTCAATAGCACTATTTGTTAGTTTCTTCGTGGCGGACATACCGGTTGTAGCGACTGGAGTGTTTCTAGAAAATTCTTCGCTCATCCTTTCAGTGGTGGCGTTGAGAGGGGGTGTAGTCGAAGTTTTTGTTGTATACCCCATTGTTCCGGCAGTAGTCCTTTGAGAAACGGCCGAGGGAGTTTCGGTGGAAAATTTAACTATCGCAGTGGCAGGCGTGGTATTAATTCGAGCAGGAATTTTAGTTGTGGGTTTCTTTGTTAGTTTGCTTACTGTGGCTGGTGTTGTAGTTGGCATGCTCAGCTCGCAACTGTAAAAAGAAAATATTGGCAGTAGAGAAGAAGTAACAGATAAGTGCGTTTAAGCTGTGGGATATTCTAGAATAGCGTCTCCCCATCTCTTCACGTGGTTGCCGTAAAAGGCGATTTACCGGAGATTGGGTGGCAGGGCTCTGAAAATTATAATTCTATTAGATAGGGTAGCGCGGGTAGGTACCACCACCTTGCCTATTTTTGCCGTGAAGTAGTAATGCGTTTCGGTTTAAAGGGTGGGGCAGCCGTTGTAACTATACTTGAGACCTTAAAACATATCTCAAGGTGGGTGGCGCATTTACGTTGTAGATGTCTATGGGCTCCAGTAACCACTTAAGACCAGGTGGGCTGTGAGCTCGTCCACCCATCTAAGCAAAAACAAAAAAAAAAGACAGCGTCACCCTTCCTTCTTCGTTACGCCACCAAATACGGTCATTCTGGTTTGAATGATAGTTAAGTTGATATTTTAATGCTTTTATATTGAATGGCAGTAACCGCATAAACGGAATGACCTCTGAGCTAGTGAAAAACAAAATTGTTTGTTTTTATATAATTCCGAGCATTTTCATATTTATTTAAACTTTCTCTGGACTTCCACAAATTATTCAAGATCAAAAATAGCCAAATTGGTCCAGTCGTTCTCGAGTTTTAGCGATACTAACGAACAGCAAATCATTTTTATATATATAGATAGATTTTGAACAGCTCCAGTCTGATAAATAGATGGTTGGATGGCGTGAAGCGCGACCTCAAAACTATCGGCGTCAAGAACTGGAAGGAGAAAGCCCTGAACAGAGCGGTCTGGAGAGACATACTGGACCAGGCTAAGGCCCACTCTGGGCTGTAAGACCTAAGATGATGATGAGTCTGATAAATAGGAGTGGGACCTACCTCTCACCTTGCCATCCGTCTTCGCAACGGCACGTGCCGTCTAAAGGAGAACAGGTCCCGTGGTCGCAGGGCTCACAATCGTTCACACAATTCGGGCCCCATTTGTTAGACAGACAATCTGTGTAGTTTCAAAATTATTTTAACGACCGAATCTCGTGATCATCTCTTTCAAAAATATTCTTTTCTGTGTCCATTTAGTTTTAGAAGAAGAAGGTTTTACCATTCAAAATCAAGGCTTTTTTTTTTCAGGAGGAAATCGCGTACTTCCACCCTTTACTGGTGGTAGGACCTCTTGTGAGTCCGCGCGGGTGGGTACCACCACCCTGCCTATTTCTGCCCTGAAGCAGTAATGCGTTTTGGTTTGAAGGGTGGGGCAGCCGTTGTAACTATACTTGAGACCTTAGAACTTGTATCTCAAGGTGGGTGGCGCATTTACGTTGTGGATGTCTATGGGCTCCAGTAACCACTTAACACCAGGTGGGCTGTGAACTCGTCCACCCATCTAAGCAATAAAAAATAAAAAAAACTTCCATCCTTCTCTGGGGGTGGCGGGCGGGGTATGTCAGAGTCGAACTGACTAAAACCTCCTGTCACTCAACAACCAACGTCCAAACCTCGCATGAGACAGAACTCATGAAAAGGCAAAGGGGGGAAAGTGAAGCGTTTAGTGCGGAGCACATCTCTCCCATCACCTTCCCCCTCGGGACGCCAGACTGGCGGTCGTCGGCGCCACGACCACCAGCCCTCTTGGTCGGCAGACTGTCCGAAGCCTGCCTAGATGGGGCCGGTTAGAGTGGGTTACCCTACGGAATACCCCGCTGGGCCAGAACCAGCGTGGGTCGAGGATAGCCGGCCTTCCATCACCCGGATGCTCTTGCGTAAAACGCGTGCAGAGCAGCTTGCACGTCGTCTTCTTAGGCCCCCTCGCCGGTCCCCAGACCGACATGTGAGGGGGACTCGAAACACTTAGAGGGCCAGGGCTTGGGCGAGATTCGCCTCCTTGGCCCTCGCTCGACGGCGGCGGGATTGTGCGTCTCTCACGCGCCCCGCCGCCTTCTTCTGCGAGATGTTGCACTCGCAGAAGTCGAGCATCGCCTTCCACGACTCGTCGCTGCCGAGCATCGATGCCACAACACTCGGCAACGACAAGTCGGTTCCTGTTTTTGCGACGAGGGCACGGCGCCACCCCTTCCATGCGGGGCAGGCGATGAGCGTATGCTCTGCCGTGTCCAAGTCGCAACCACAATGGTGGCACTCTGCCGTCAGTTCGACTCCGATCCGGTGCAGGAACTCACTGAAACAACCATGCCCAGTGAGCACCTGCGTGAGCCGGAAAGTGAGGCGTCCTCTGTCACGATTCACCCAATCCACAAGGACCGGGCGAATCGCCTCGACGGTCCTACGACCAGCCGAAGGATCATCTAGCCGTCTGGACAAAAATTAAGGCATACAATGCAATATTAGAATGTATTTTAAATCGAAATATGTCTTATGTATTTTAGCGTATCTGAGGTGCATGTTTGATGTATCACAGCGCGTCGCTGCTTGGCTTCATTCACAACATCGGCTGCGTGAACAGGTTTACTCAGATTTGTAGAATACAGTTTTTTAGTTGTACTTTGGTGGATTTTTTTTATTTATTCCCGAACCCCAAGCGCGTAACAATATCATAGTGCTCAGTATTATATTAAATCCATACCCTCTGAACAACCTGGCCCAGTTTTTCCGTTAGGGCAGATCGGAACACAGGAGCCGTCCTTCATCTTGTACCCTTGGCAGCAGACGGCCACTTCTGCTGTCTTCTCTTCGGTCTGAGAAAGTTAATAGAAGAGTTTACATTTTCAAAATCTAGGGAATGTGCGATATGTATACAACTCTTGAAGAACGATGTGGGTTTTCCGGGTGCCATGACATGTCCATCTTCAAACGAAGCTGCCAGAGAGTGCTTAACGATAGGCAGCGATTCGACAGAGCCCCTAACATTGCTCACTTCCAAGAACGATGGTAACTACTCACAATCAGGTGGACCGTATGCTTGTCTGCCTACAGAGGCCGTATAATGGTGGTAGGACCTCTTGTACTGGAGGTACGTACGTACGAGGACGTGTTGTGAGTCCGCACGGGTACCACCACCCTGCCTATTTGAACCGTGAAGCAGTAATGCGTTTCGGTTTGAAGGGTGGAGCAGCCGTTGTAACTATACTGAGACCTTAGAACTCATATATCAAGGCAGGTGGCGGCATTTACGTTATAGATGTCTATGGGTTCCAGTAACCACTTAACACCAGGTAGGCTGTGAGCTCGTCCATACATGTAGGCAATAAAAAAAATCATTACTGAATTTTTACTGGTGGTAAGACCTCTTGTGAGTCCGCACGGGTAGGTACCTCCACCCTGCCTAATTCTGCCGTGAAGCGGTAATGCGTTTCGGTTTGAAGGGTGTTGTTGGCCGTAGTAACTATATTGAGACTTTACAACTTATATCTCAAGGTGGGTGGCGTATTTACGTTGTAGATTTCTATGGGCTCCAGTAACCATTTAACACCAGGTGGGCTGTGAGCTCGTCCACGCATCTAAGCTATAAAAAAAAAAGTGACAGAAACAGGTATTATTCCATCGCCGTGGTTATGTTTGTACAAAACTCTGGCTCTCACCTGAAGCTTGGTCAAGTCCCTCATCTCGGTGGTCCAGTTGGAGCAACGCGGGGGCATGGAGAAACACCAGACGTACGTCCGCACTGACATCGGAGCTCTGTACTTGACGCGTTTTGTTATGTTGTACCTGATATGGGAATGAATGCCGAATTAACATAACGAAGGATAATTATCACCATGTGCCACGATTCAGACCTTCTGGGTGGGTAAAATTCGAGACCTTTACGTTTTTTTAATAGCTTAGATGGGTAGACGAGCTCATGGCGCACCTGGTGTTAAGTGGCTACCGGAGTCCATAGACAACTACAAGCGTAAATACCACCACCAACCTTGACACAAGAGTTCTTAGGTCTCAGTTGTAACAGTACGACGGCTGGTCTACCCTTCAAACCGAAACGCATTACTGCTTCACGACAGAAACAGTCAGGGCGGTGGTACCTACCCGTGCGGACTCACAAGACGTTCTACCACCAGTAAATGTGTCTAAGGAGAGTGACGGTATTTACTTTTTGAAATTAAACACATTAATTAAAAGCTTCATAAATGGCGACTTACTTCTGCTTGACGATGCACACGTTGGGTCCGCTTAGGCTCACCACTTCCAACAACACAGCCACTAAAACTGGCAACACTAGCCATAATCGTGTCCGAAATTTCACATGTCCTTGGTGCATTGTTAAATTTAATTTTCACTCATTTTTTATTTGCAATTCACATTTTTTTATTACTGCTGCTTACTAATAACATTGCTTCTAAGGGATTTTTTACGCACTGCTATAGAGTATTGTATAGAGTATTTCCCGCCGACAGTCAGATAACTTGGACAAAGTGAATAGGTCTCAGTATAGTTACAACCCCGCCCTTCAAACGCATTACTGCTTCATGTCAGAAATAATAAATACCGCGACGCGATTTGCATCGTGTTCCTGAACAATGACGTCATTGTATAAATAGTGCTGTCCTTGTCTAGCCTAATTTTTAAGTAATGTTAAAACTTCCTTTTCAATTAATAGATTTTAAAACCGTACTTTCGTCTACCGTGTCTTCTATTGGCTTTTAATCATAGACCTATATAGTATTCATACTTCAGTGCTTTTAATATAAAGAAGGTGTTTGACAGCTGTCAGACTGACATCTGTTTTTTTTAATAGGTAATATTGTCAAACGCATTCATATGAATATCTAATCAACAGGTGGAAAGTCTTCAGTCCATCTAGAAGCAGCCACCACTCGTGCATACTTCGAGAATAAACTCGTCGTAAAAGTCTTCATTCGTTCAAAGCTCAGATTTATTTGTTTTACTTATTAATTATACATTCTCCCACATACGCCTAGGTTTATAGTATCTAAATTTTAGAGATGTTTTTTTTTTTTGCTTAACGTGCTTAAGGCCCACCTGATGGTGAGTGGTTACTGTCGCTCATCGACGTCAGCAATGCCAGTGGTAGAGCCAAAGCACTGCCTACCATTTAATACTCTCCAAAAACCTCGTTTGAAGAAGGACAAGTCGGTCGGGAAACCCCGTGAAGGGGAGCTCATTCCAAAGCCGGATGGTACGTGGCAAAAAAGATCTCTGGAAACGCACTGTGGATGAACGCAGTGGCTCCAGGTAGTACGGATGAACTCTACTCCGGTGGCGGGCGACGGTAAAAACGAGGTGATGGTAACATCTCAAATAATCGCAGCCAAAAAAACCATATCGACACGATCATATAGTTCAACTAATGCAGAGGGCATGGCTATGTTTATCACCAGTCAAACGGGCTCTATGTCCATCTGCCTATGGAACAGTACAAATACTATATGTGTCGTCACGATACGCCCGTCGAGTGGTTAACGTTGAACCCTAGTTCAAATACGGCCAATTTACAGTATCTCCCTCCATTAGTCGGCGGATGTGGGGTCAAGTAACTCGAAAGATGGGGGCCTGCGGGTCCTCGCGCTAATTGTCATAAATGACGTGTGATGAACATTGCGTAATAAAACATACACACGAAATATAGGCTGTAGTTAGTTTTGAATTAGCGCACGCTAGCAGATAACATCGAGTCATTACTTTTTTTTATTGCCTAGATGGGTGGACGAGCTCACAGCCACCTGGTGTTAAGTGGTTACCGAAGCCCATAGACATCTATAACCTAAATGCGCCACCCACCTTCAGATATAAGTTCTAAGGTCCTAATATAATTACAACGGCTGCCCTATTCTTCAAACCGAAACGCATTACTGCTTCACGGCAGAAATAGGCAGGGCGGTGGTACCTATCCGCGCGGACTCACAAGAGGTCCTACCATCATATGTAAAGTTGGCTCTAAAATTGCATATACAGTCATATGGTTTAACCTATTACTAACGCCATCTAAGTAATGAAGTAAGAATAGAATACATTACTAGGAATTAAATCTTAAACTTAATAAAACCACCAACGCCATCTAGTTTATTTATGAATTAACTGTTATTGATTTGGTGTTCATAGAATTGTAGAAGTTAAGGTTTTCATGCTATTTTCCTGGTGGCTCTGCCTACATATGTATGTGACGATGAGACGCAGTGCTGCGAAAAATCGGCAAAACAAATACAAAGACATATAACCCTTGTTCATATTAATGCATTTATGTTTTTTTTTCTCTCCAGGGTAACAGTAACTTGAATACAAAACACGCGGTATTAGCTTCGAGTAAGCTGAAAAACCCTAGAACGGTCTCACTCCCGTTAGAGCCATCTAGGAAAAAATACTATCTATCTCTGTGTATTTTCTTCGGTTTTCGCGAGACGTGGACATGATTAATTGATTGACATGATATCCTGATAGAAAAAACTACGAGGTACAAACCCGACAGGTCGGACTGACCAGATTCGCACTACTCTCGATACCAGGGCCCGTGTTAGTCCACCCTCGGGGGGGAGATAGGAACAAATGGTGTCGATTGATCCACAACAAACTCTTGTTACAAAGAAGTGGTTATGACCCTCAGCATTGAGGTAACAGAAGGAGGAGGTGTGAGGAGACAATATTAATACAATTTTTCTGCTGTACGTGACAACTTTGAGAACTTAGCTACGGTCAGCTAGAAATTTGTAGGATTATACATTTTGGAATGTTCAAAAAAAAAAGGGTGCGTGTACTTATGTACGCGCGTAAGAAGTTATACTTTATTTTTATTAAATCTATTTCTTTTTTTTTTTTATATTAAATAATTAATAATACATATTTAACGTTTAATAATTTAATAATATTTAGTATGAATTATATTAAATAATAATTTTGCCATTTATAATACTAAAAAATGAATAGCTAATAACACTTTTTTACGAGTGTACATGCGCGAACGTTCACCTGCGGCTATATTCAGACTCGCCAAGTTACGTCGGTCGTATTGTAATGAGCGATTTAGTGGGCAACTTCATTCTGTTAATTTTGTGTCACGGTGCGCGCGCATCGTAAGATTTCACTCTCATCAATTTTTCATAACGCGCCTAAAGAAGTATAACTTCAAGAAGCAAAGATAATCAATGTTTTTGAAAGAGCAAAACCCTACTGCCCCTCTCTTAACGCTACTTACAATATATTATATTCAATTTGAAAACTACTTTACGTCTAATGTTGAAGTTTATGACCTCCGGTACCAAGTTCGTGAACTACAGGAAGTGCAAATTGTTAAAAGATATATCAGAGGCGTTGACCTCAGTTCCCGCGCAAATATATTTTGCCTATCGCCATTTTGATTGTATAGGCAAAAGCAGAGGAAATGCGAGTAAAGAAATAATCTTACCGTACATAATATATATTCATTTAAATATTGATTACGTATTAAACTTTACAGCTGCACAAAAAGGATGTGATCTATATAGATAGGATATTGCGTAGTTTGTTATCGACGCTAGTGATAATGCATCAAAGAATTATTATTATTATTTTATTTTATTTTTTTATTGCCTAGATGGGTGGACGAACTCACAGCCCACCTGGTGTTAAGTCGTTGCTGGAGCCCATAGACATCTACTACGCAAATGGGCTACACACCTTGAGATATAAGTTCTAAGGTCGCAGTATAGTTACAACAACTGCCCCACCTTTCAAACCGAAACGCATTACTGCTTCACGGCAGAAATAGGCACGGTGGTCGTACCTATCCGCACGGACTCACAAGAGGTCCTACCACCAGTAAATCATGAGTCGACATTAGTAAAAGAACAACTGTGCAGCTATTAAGCCCAGTTTGAAGAATTAAATCATTGTCTCCATCAGATCGCCTGGGAGAGGTATGCCTATGGCTTATTCATTACTTTGTTCGAGAAATCAATTTACGAAAAACTAATGAGTAGCAGTCCGTGAGCCTTGCTCTAATAGTGCCATACCCGGTATGGTTGTACCATATTACCATGTCTCGACCCTGGAACCTGTACCCAATTGGGTCGTGAGTTAGTCTCCTTATCTACATCAGTGAAAAGGTCATTCTGTGTGCCTGCACGGATATGTACCGTAGTTTAGCCTTACGAAAAGATCTATATTCTCAATCAATTGAAACTTGGTTCTCATATCTTAAGTTTGATTATTTGTTTTGGCACCCAAGTCAGAGGTATATGGCAGAGCATACGGATCTTCCGTTGGTAGGTACACATGCATTTATAATGCCAGGGACACAGATCACAGTACCGGACATCATGTTGTAATATGTCTATGGAACATGCGGATAATTTTACATACATCAAAAAAAGAAGATAAGATGCACTCACTACATTAGTGAATAGATATCAGATAAAGAGTATTCTCCTCGGCTTACGCGAGTCGTTAATATAATTTAGATTACTTTAACGGTTCTATCATTAGATTAAAGTCAATAAAGGGATAAGGTCAGTCGTTATTGACCATAAAAATTGTAATCTATCCGTAACATTGTAACTAATGTAATTAAAATTAAAAAAGACGCAAATTAAACAGTACATAGACGTACTATTAATTATGTTATTTCTAGATTAACTCTTTCACATAACACACACACTCTTACACATTTTAAGTTAGACTAGCGCTTCGGAAACATGATATTCTATTATTGATAGCTGAGTCCCTCGATGTTACCCGCGGTTATTTTCGTACCGCGGGTGACGCCGCGGGGCGAAGGTAGCCTAAGTTACTCCTTATATCATCAGCTACCTATCAGTAAAAGTCTCGTCAAAATCGGACCATCCATTCCAGAGATTAGCCGGAACATACAGACAGACAGAATTGTAAAAAAAATTTTTTTTTTTGTGTATGTGCCGTATATATATTCATATGCATATAGTAAAAAGCGGTTATTTCAATATTACAAACAGAAACTCCAATTTTATTTATATGTTTTAGATTAAACTTTACTTATTGACGACCCTAATAAAGGAAAACGGAAAGACAATATAAAAGATGAATCAATTTAACCTTACATTCTTCCTAACCGAAAAAGTATCGGCATTTTCAGTATCGGCTATTGCTCAAGTACATCTACCAGAGGGCCAATCTGTTTAAAACCTACCGTTTGCCTTTCGAATAGCTACCGTCCATTCCCAAACGCATTATCAGTTTATTGAGAGCCGGAAACATCTCGTTACGTACGGGGCCCACCGGACCTAGTTACGCTAAGTGTTTATGACAAAATATTTTATAGTTTTATCCTCCTCCGTGATTGATTGGCTGGATCTCTAGTACAAACGCTCTGTGTTGGAATTTATGTTGGTTTTAATGACACCAATCTGGAACTTTATGTTTTGGTTAATGTCGCTCTAAGCAGATAAGATATGTATATGAGAGCTTCTAGAATTTGTTTAATACCAAATACCAAAGAGTCTGATTTCGACCGGAAATCATGTTCGAACGTGTCAGGATCAGTGTCGATTAATATGGTTAAAGAATAAAGTGCCAATGGTGTTCTAAAAAAACGTTGCTATTCCTTGTCGAGGCGTAGGATTGTTCGGCCGTAAATACTCTTCTTACGTCTAATTTGACGGTTCGTATCTTTAGTATTATATGGAAGGTATCTTCTATTATAAGGTATCTTTAAGTATCTTGATTTTTATTTAAATATAAGGTATCTTTATTATTATTTGGAAGGGAAACCCAAAATTAGTAAACAAATATGTAGCACGTGTATATTATAGGTATATAATGTACTAAATAAATATACCTAATGGTCGGCTAGTAAAATTATTTTACGTATATAAAGGACATGTTCAAGATTTGCTGGTGATATCTATGTCACTCAAATACTAGAAACTATAGAATTTGATTAATGTTAATTCTAATCTGACAGAATAAGTTTTATTTGTGGTGAGATGTTATCTTCTTTTTTTTTTTGCTTAAGATAAAAACCAATCATCTCATAAATTCTCCAGCAACCTGCCATCAGATCAAACCTGCAGTTACGACACTGATCTAGAGATAAGTTTTTCAAATAGTTTGAAGGGTGGGACAGCCGTTGTAACTATACTGAGACCTTAGAAGTTATATCTCAAGGTGGGTGGCGCATTTACGTTATAGATGTCTATTGGCTCCAGTAATCACTTAACATCAGGTGGGCTGTAAGCTCGTCTACCCACCTAAGCAAAAAAAAACAATCATATTATTATTCTTAACTAAACTAGTGTTAGCGGTTTTATTCAATGACCACCATGTTTTTTCCTGAAAATTCGTTGTATAGGACCAATGAAATTTGGAGTGAATATTATATTATTACGTGGTGTCCCATGTTGAATGTCCGACGGAAATGAAGCGTTAATTGATAATGCAGCATCACAATGCGAACATGACTGTTTAATTGACACAACGAGCGAAGCATGTGTCGGCGCGTTAGTGCAAATGACAACTTTGCACGCTATGTCCAAAATGTTAATCTAAAATAATTTAAAGTACTTTTACGATTTATATCTTTCATTTTACTCTTTCGGAGGGTCAAAACGATCATTTAAACTGTAAATTATGCGCTATGGGACTAATGGAAGGGGAAGGGGAAGGTTAGGGACTAAGGGAAGATCGAAGAAAATGAATATATAACATTACATGAATTGTTTGTTCATTCTCGAAGATTTTCAAAGAAGACTTAACAGACAGTGCATCATTTGACACAACGAAATTTATAAGATGTACACTAAAAGCTCTTTATATGCGGCGTATACATATTATATTCCGTAAATTCGTCGCGAATATAGCAATTGAGTGGCACTTTTTTTTAATCCGCGAATATTGAAAACGCAAACCCAGGAGGCGCGAATAACTGTGCAACACGGAATAGATAAATCTGTGCAATATAAATGCGAGATAAAATCTTCTGAAAAGTGTCTGATGACTTGTTTAAGACTTGTCATATGAATAAAAAAAGGTCGTTGTGTCTTAAAGCATAAGACTTCCCAACGATGCGACAATGTCAGTGTTCAAATCGCGCAGACGGATGATACCATTTGTTTTAATAAAGCACGTACTTAATGAATGATCGACTACCAGCGTGTAATAATAATAAAAAGAAGAAAAAAACGCTAAACTATAATTTACGTTATTACTGCATAATTGAGATATGGACCGGACCATAAGTTGGGGACCGATATTGGGTTTGTCACCACTTAACACTAGGTGGGCCGAGAGATTGTTCACCCGAATATGTAATAATAATGTAAGTATTACGCATTTTTTATTTATTTATTGAGGCTTTACGGGCTACTTGATGTTAAGTGGTTATCGGAGCTCATAGATATCAACAACGTAAACAAATTTATAGTTCTCTTGAGAAAATTTTTGTGGAAGTGCGCGTTTGGGATGGTATGGGCATTTGATGAGACGTTAACTATGAATGTGGAAGGATATAGAGGAAGAGGTAGACCTAAAAAGAAGTAGATGGATTGCGTGAATGTCGGTATGTGTAAGAGAGCAGTGAGCGAAGAAACGGTATATGATAGAGGAGTATCGAAGGATAAAACATGTTGCGCCGACCCCAGGTGACTGGGAGAAGAGCAGGAGAATGATGATGAAGAACTGAGAGAGAAAAGAAGAGAGCTACTGATCCGATGTAAAGTAATTCTCTTCTAAACACTTTTGTTAAAAGTCGTCGCCTTAAAGAATAAAACGCACGGTTCGTGATGCGAATGTGCCGATATTTAAACCCTATAGTTACCAATTTTTGGAAGCAACGACGTACCTTCCGCGATGAAGATATTAATTACATCTATGAGCTCAAGTGGCCACCAAATGAACTCACCAAATCTTCAAGTGCACTAAAATAAAACACGCAGAATAAAAATTCAAGTAATTATTTAGATTTTTTGTTCCCTCCACACGTTTGCATACGTCAGTTTAAATTTACTCCTAAGAATACACTTAACATTACAAACATTACAAAACAGAATATTATTTGTGCCGAATAATCGAACCAATAACTCTTTAGTTAGATACTGCTAAGCCATAAGCGCTTAAAGTACTTATTTAACGTAATTGACGATTTTACATCACAAATAAAGAGTTTTAACACGTCACTGAATCTTTCACAAGTACCAGGCGCACAGAATCGTTAAGGAGTATACATGTGTGTCCCGACGAAGCTGGGGCAGAACTGGGAACGCGGGAGCCATTGGGACGTCGCCATACTAAGATAAACAAGCAATAATGTTGCAGGGGATGCGGGAATGTTATTGTCTGATTATTATATCGTTTTACAAATAAATTTTGTTTCATTTTAACGTTCGAAAATTTGAAGCAAACACTATCTATGCTTCAGAGATAGATAGATGTTAGATTATCATAAGCGTAATAACGTAGTCGATTTTGTGAGTGGATGTCGTATTCTTTCTTTTCTTAATCGGTCTCTTCATTGCTGAAGGTCGTGTCTAGCGAATTGATCACTCGATTTACTATCTTCACATCACACACTTCTCCACGTCCTCTTGTCCTCGGCGGTCTTTATAACCTCGGTTATCGGAAGGTCGGTGAGAGTCTATACCAGATCTGATCGGTCGGTAAGTGAGCGACCGCGTGATCTTCTCCCGCCAAGCTGACCAACTACCATCAGCTTGTCTAAGTTATCAGGGTCTCCACGAGCGATATGGCTGAAGTATTTCAGATGTAATTCGGTCATTATGTCGTTTTAGGAAGAGTGAAATTCCGTTGCGATACGCCTGATAAAAGTGTAACACAGAAACGCTAATGCTATTGCCATTTTATGATGTAGATATGTTTTTCACTGACTATCAAAAGGTCCTACCACCAGTAAAAAACTCTCTCAGACTCTGACTCTCAGACTCAAACTCAAACTCTCTGTCCAGGGCTTGTAACAATAACAAATTGTAATAATAACAAACACGGTTGTCCATAATTGATTTTATATCATTACCTTAAGCTTGGTCCTATCTTCGGAACAAAATAGATACTTATTTTTTTACCAAGCCACCGTATTATTTGACCTCAATAACGTCTATAAGCACCCCACGTTCAACTGATGAGTAAATAAGAGGGGGCGGCTCAGTAGGCGCCACTATGTCGCCCTTGTTGTTATCGTAACTTTCCAACGCTTTTATTCTCCTGGTATAATAAGCTCATTTTGGTTCTCTCATTTTGAACTAATGAAAACCGGTCACTGTTTGTGAATGAAATATTTAAGAAGACTCGCACGGTACTTATTGGTTGTTGGACGGTGTTATGATAAATATTTAAACTAAAAACGGTTTTATTTTCCTATCTATTCTATAGACCTCGAGGGGTCATACATTCAACGGGTGAGTAGGTGAGCTCACGGGGCTCTAACCTGATGAATTTTAACACTAGGCCTAGCAAGAGCAGTGCTTCGCAGAATCTACTACCGGATCGGAAACGCGACCTACTGAGAAGATTTGGCGAGAAAATCAGTGGCCTGTCTGAAAAAAAGCGGCACAAACCTTTTACTTAACTAGGTGAACCGGTTTTTGACCGGTGAATGTATAAAGACTTTTCTATAGATGTTGTTGGGTTGACAGCGCACTTACATCTTAGGCTATGAAGTAGTGTTGACCGCGGGAACCTGACCGGGTTCTGACCCCGGACGGAGATCGGACGTCGGGTATAAGAGTGCAGGGGAGTCGCTTAGTGCGGTAGGGCTCTAAAATTCCTTGGGCCCGCAGTCTGCTCCCAACACCTACAAGGTCGTCAGATCCCACATACCCCGCGCGCCCCCTAGGCGCGGGGACCTCGGAGGAGGTACGAACCCCGACTCGAAAAAAAATAATGAAACAGATAACCAGCGGAAAAACATTTTCATAATTAAGTACTTTTTTCTTCGCACTTCTTTTCTAAAATAACATTTTATTTTATAATCTTTACTATTTGCATAGAATACATAGCAGCACTGATAGATATATCCTTCGTGATGATTTCTGCAGCGGAATTCATCCAATTCGAAGAACAGGATAGTTATTATACAACAGGATTCATGCAAGTTGTTTAACCTCATGTCTGAAGATGGTATGTGACAGTCACGTCTTCTGATCTGAAAGACGAGGTAGTCATTTGTAGTACAATGGCTAATCGAGACTTAGAACCACCTCATACCAGGCGTATCACGAGCTCTTTGACAAGCCTAATAAATAAATAAATTAAGGATAATGCAAAAACTACTGGTTAGGTCTTTTAGAAGTTAAATGGGAAATTCGGTTCATCTATAAAAGTTTTAAGGTGATGACAGATACGCAGATGAAAAAGTACGATTGAATGAGAACCTCCTCGTTTTTGAAGTTAGTTGAAACATTACTGATAATAAAGGCATTACCATTAAAACTTTAACAAATATTACCCACATGGATGTATTCTGCTTTTTTTAGCAAAAATGCTAGTATTATTATATAGTGAACTGAATTATTTAACATTACAAACAAAATTAAATAGTGATTGGATAATCGTCTTAATTTCATTGTCATCCCTACTTAGAATATTTATTGTGGAGTCCGTCTGCAAGTTCATCGTGCATCATTCTTCATCAATACGTGGCAATTATTCATTGAAATCTTATATGCGGGCGTTACGAGTAAGAAAAAGGTTTAAATTATCTTGGCAATTGAATAAGCACGAATTGGGTAATTTGTCTGCCTTCAATTGTACAATTAAGTGTATTAAGTTCATTCCAAGCTTTGACCTTTGGGCAACGAGGTCGCTTTTGTTAGTCTTTTGCTGACTTTAGAGGTTGCGTGATTTAATTGTATTGCATATATTGTTATAATTATATCATAGGTAATTTTGGATTTGGGCTCAGTAAGGCAAAATGGGCCAGACTTGTGTCAAACGAAGGGTAAGCATCAGGATGTGTTTTTAAACATGTTCTTATTATTATTATTGCCCTTGTAGACAGACGAGCCTACGGCCTACCTGATGAAGAGCGGTTACCGACGCCCATGGACTCTAGCAATGGCAGGGGCAACGCCAAGCCGCTGCCCACCCTATGTTATCAGCAATAGATTTATTATTATTTAATTATTATTTATTAATATTTAACCGAATAATTCAACATACTTTTTAATAACTTCAAGACATCTGATTAATGATTGAAAATTTACACACGTATTGGGGACTAATGATATTACAATAATTTAGTTTCTTGGCCAGATATCCTTGTCGTGATGATCGGGGTAATAATATCGACTTGCGATTTAAACGCATTTTAATTGTTCAAATAAGTCGATGTAGATGTCTTTTTGATGTTAAGCAACTATATGAGTGCACCAATAAACATGAGACATGGGATCGATCGACCGATCAGAAGGATTAGTCTTGTGTGCAATAGAAATTGGAAAAATTGTGGTGCCATTTTTCAGTTTATTTACTTTCAATTTTTATTGTTCTAGATTGATGATCCACCTCAAAAAGGGCGTAATAACGTCACACGTATTAGAGTCATGAGGTCCAAGTTTTAATTAGGTTTTATTAATAAATGTCTCATACTTCAAATAGCATTACGTGTTTTTTTTATAAACAGACTAACTTCCTGTGCGGGTTCATAGTACTCCCTGGCTGGTAGATGCTAGCAATCTCTCTCAAGCTGCCAGATTCGTTTGTTTCTTAATGTTTTGTGTCTTACACTTAAAATAATTAAACTAATTATATTATAATTACAATTAAAACATTTCTCGATAATACGATTTTTATTTTGAATAAAAAATAATAACATTATCACAATTATTCTAAACACAATATTAATAACATATTTAAGAATAGTTTTTTATTTAAATTGAAACACTACGGTATCAATATAAAAATGGTGTTACAAGCTTAAAAAAAAATAAGTCCACATTCTCAAACATACATTCGACATGTGAGCACTAAAATAACTGGACTATCCGGACAACGCTATACCATTTCATATAAGTGCAAAAAAATATATTAAAAAATAATTAAAAACCACAATATATAATACAGATAGAATTTAACTTAAGCTAGTTCAAGAAACATAGCAAATTAAACCTAAACTCATTTATTTTACGTTCTTTTTTCGTGCGAACATTCGCTTTTGGTTACACGACGATTCTTATCACTCTATCCATGAATTGTAGACATCTCTCACTCAGGTATGGGCCGTATGCCCGTCTGCCTACAAAGGCAATAAAAAAAAAAAAAAACTATCTGTATCTGAAAGCTATGGTCATGAGCGCTGATGTCACAAACAGTGCTATGAAAGTGGTGACGTCATAGTGGCGTTGGGCAGCATTGTAGAACCCTCCGTAGACTTGGAGACCAGCGGTTTCAATGCTGCGAAAGAATTTTATGATCGATTATCTTAATTTTGTTTACTTATTGACTAAAATAGGCAGAAGAGATCACGGCTTGACTGGTGTTATGCTTCTGTAGCTTATCATATAGCTTTTATGTATTTGAGCTTGTATTAAAGCGTCCATAAATACCATAAGACAATGTTGTCAAAACAATCAATTTACTGGTGGTAGGACGTCTTGTGAATCCACGCGGGTACGTACCACCACCCTGCCTATGTCTGCCTTGAAGCAATAATGCGTTTCGTTTTGAAGGGTGGGGCAGCCGTTGTACTTTAAAACTGAGACCTAAGAACTAACATCTCAAGGTAGGTGGCGGCATTAACGTTGTAGCTGTCTACAGGTTTCGGTAACCATTTAACATCTGGTAAATCAAGCAAGCATATGCTATGATATGATAAGCACGTTCGTTTGCTATTTAATATCCATATGTATACATATAACCGTATGTGTACCATTCTCTGATTTCTATGTTATAGGAATTGCCTAGCTTAGGGCCAGGTGACCATCTTTAACTTGTACCCTGGTTATTGTCCTCTTGAAACATGAGACTTTATGAAAGGTCTTACTTAAGCAATTTGAAGAAGGGCTCATGTTTATCGGCCCAAAATTTATCGTCATAGCTCATAGAGTAGGTGGCAATGAATAAGCGACTTTTTCATTTGGCGTTCTAATTTGAAAGGGTGTTGCTTACTACAGTCGGGACCTCATGTCTTAAGCTAATTAGTGGTATATGGTCTAAACATGGCCGTTACCTTGTCAGATCATTTACAAGATTAACAAAAATTAATTAATTTCGGCTTCAATTAATCAAGAATACGTACCTAAATTTACAATAATCTCCGTCGTAGCTCCAACCTAAAAATTCTCCGGTACGAAGGTTCTCGCTGCTGAGCCAATCTTCAAGAGGACGGAAGTAGTCCCTCATGGCTTCCCCGTTTAGTCGGGATTCACCTATGGCCTCTTGTAATATATGAGTCCACGGCGCTGAGGAACCTCGCTCCATAAGACGGCTGCAAGAGAATGTGTTGTGTTAGCTAAATTTGGACCAACTAATAGCTGAAGATATGTCATTGCTACCATCCTGCCACCAAATATTGATGAGCAGTTGAATTCGTCGTGGCCTGAAGGATAAGACGTCCGTTGTATTCGTATTTAGCGATGTTCGTACCAATTTTTCTAATGGAATTAGTACTTGACAAATGTTCACGATTGACTTTCACGGTAAAGGAATAACATCGTGTAATAAAGATCAAACTCGTAAAATTATAATTTGCGTAATTACTGGTGGTAGGACCTCTTGTGAGTCCGCTCGGGTAGGTACCACACCGCCCCGCCTATTTGTGCCGTGAAGCAGTAATTCGTTTCGGTTTAAAGAGTGGGGCAGCCGTTGCAACTATACTGAGACCTTGGAACTTATATCTCAAGGTGGGTGGCGCATTTACGTTGTAGATGTCTATGGGCTCCAGTAACCACTTAACACCAAGTGGGCTGTGAGCTCGTCGACCCATCAAAGCAATAAAAAAGAACAAAAAACTAGCCTCGAAAAGTTTTATTTTACCGAATAGCCTATAGTGTATTCTAAGAATGACTCCCAAATTTTTTATAATTTGATTCACTTTAAGTCTTGTATCGTTGTGACCGATACAGAACTAATATTTGCGAGCTTTGAGAAGAATCATTCTAGGTCACCTATTAATTGCATCTGATTTTTTCCATTTTCTATAAAGGCTAATGATGTTCTAAGTACACATGATCCTGTTTGCCGTTGAAGACTCGTTGTAATTCAAAAGAGTGTCTTGGAGTCAATTAAATAATATGATCATCATCATTATCCTGCCCTTCTCCCAGTCACCTGGGGTCGGTGCAACATGTTTTCTCCTTCCATACTCGTCTATCTTATACCATTTCTTCGCTCATTCCCCTCTTACACATATCGTCTTTCACGCAATTCATCCATTTCTTCTTAGGTCTACCTCTTCCTCTATATCCTTCCACATTCATAATCAACACTCTCTTACCAACCTCATTTTCATTTCGTCTCATTACAGCCCACATCATCCCTAAGGCGAACTTTTCAACTTCTCAAACTTAGAGTTAGTTTTGCCAAAACTTAGAGCCACATGAGAATTAAATAATACGATATGGCACTGAAATAAAGCTGTATTTGGGTATGGCACAAACCGTACTGTCTAAAACGGTTTGCAGCTAGCGTATTGAAAGGGACTTATAATTTTATATACCAATGCTCAACCGAAGTATGGAAATACAGTGACCTATAATGCGGGATGGTTTAGCAAGGAAGGGAGTTTACGTAAGGTATCCATGTCCACTATTGTCTTACACCGCCGTTATATAACTGTGTATTTGTAATAGATACCGGTCTGTGTTAAGGAAATTTAGACTTGAATTACTGCCTACGGCTCGCGGCGCGAATCGAGAAAATCAATATTATTTTAAGGGGCTACTTCTTGACAAGACACCACAAGATTTTCTACTACTAAACCACTACGTCGTGATACGCCAGCGCCGCCGCGATCATCGACTAGGGTAAGGTTAAACGCATTGGCGATGTCCAGGGACACTACCGTGCCTACCCTTTTTCATCTCATTGAAGAACTTGCTTTGTTTTGATTATAATAATTCTACACCTGAGTTTGATTAAAGGCAATTTAAAACATGACATTTTTTATTAATTACTAGCTGAACCGGCAGACTTCGTTGTGTCTCAATCGATAAATAATATACCTAACCTTTTGTATAAAATTAACTTCAAACAAACAAAAGGAATCCGTCCGACGGGGACACATCAGCGAAAAACAAAATTGTGATTTGTATATTATTATAATTCCGAGCATTTTCATATATTTATTTACCTTTTAAACCTTCTCTGGACCGTTTTACGGCTTAGGCTAACCTGGCTTTTTTGGGTGTCATAAATTGGGTCTTTGACCTATGTTTTTTTTATTTGATTGGTTGGCTTAGATTGGTGAACTAGCTCACGGCCCACCTGGTATTAAGTGGTTACCGGAGCCCATAGACATATACAACGTAAATGCCGCCACTCACCTTGAGACTTGAGTTTTAAAGTCTCAGTTTTAATAGTACAACGGCTGCCCCGCCCTTTAAACGCATTACTGCTTCTTGCTTTCTGCCTACAGACCTACTACAGACGAAATCCTACCACCATTATCGTTTAGTAAGCAGAAAGTTAAAGAAATTTTTTCATTAATATTATTTATCTCTATCAATCAAAATATGTAGTCATGGTAATCGATGTATCTTTGCTGGTGCAGCCGTAACTTTCCAATGCCCTTCTGGAAGAAGTCATTAAACATACCATACAGGAATACCTATTATTATTTATGACAGTATTATTCAGTCATGATTCGAAAGGAAGAAAATAATGTAATGACAATTACAAATATAAGATTAAACCGTAAAATCTATATATTAATACGTGAAGCAAAAACTTTGTATCCCTTTTTACGAAAATTGCGCGGACGGAGGAGTATGAAATTTTCTACACTTATAGAGAATATAGAGAGGAAGTGCACAATGCTAATATTTTTTTTAAATAATGCATAAAAGATACATTAAATCAATAAAAAAAATATTACACACACTACATACGATGTATTTGACGCACACACGCATGCATACTATTTATTGTCAAACTTTTGTTCTTGACGTCTGTTGTCAAATTAAGAATAGATTAAATATTGTTTGTCTTTGTTAATATTTTTTATAGTGTAGTCTTGGCGAAATTTGTGATTATAGAAGCATAAAATACAATCATAATAGTGTACAAACTTACAATTCCAATTAATTATAGTCGAATTTCGACTACTGCGGGACCTCTAGTAATTTTAATTAAGCCAACGAGAAGTGAAGCGTGTAGGGGAGCTCATTCCATAGCCGGATGGTACATGGCAAAAAGGATCTCTGGAAACGCACTGTGGATGAACGCAGTGGCTCCAGGTAGTATGGATGAGCTCTACTCCGATGGCGGGCGGTGCGATGGTAAAAACGAAATGATAGGATCATTCAGAAGTTCCAAAACGTCTTAACAGGTGTTTGTGACTAACAAAAATATCCATCACATGTCGTCAGAAAGTATATTTACAGCAGAAATAAGAAGAGAATTAACGCATAAACTTATCGGCATATTGAATTGCTACAGCCTCAATTAAATACGGCCTACAGTAATTGTCGACTGTTCTCACTAAAATTAAGATAAGTCAAGATACGCACTTTAAATGCCCCACTTCTGTTTGTCCAGTTGCTTTTCGCAACATGCCCTATATTCCGCTTCCTATCAGTTGAGTCTTGCACTCGTAGATCTAGTATAGAATAATCACGATTCTTGTGATTCGTGTTCGCACGCGCGTCGAAGGAGCCCGGAGTTTTTTTTATATCTTTTATATTGGTAAACTTCAAAGGGGCGTTGAAAACAGTGTATTGTTAATGTGAATCGAAATTACGGGATCGAGCTATGTTTTTTTTTTATTGCTTAGATGAATGGACGAGCTCACAGCCCACCTGGTGTTAAGTGGTTACTGAGACCTTACAACTTATATCTTAAGATGGGTGGCGCATTTACGTGGTTGATGTCTATGGGCTCCAGTAACCACTTAACAATCATGTGGACTGTGAGCTTGTTCACTAATCTAAGCAATAAAAAAATAAAGAGCGATGGTATTATGTCAACATCGCAGATAGGTACCAATTTTTCTAATGAAGTACTAAAAATCATGTTTACGATTGACTTCCACGATAAAAGTATGATATCTTGTTATAAATTTCAAACAATAGACACATATACATTACATCTAGGCTCCGGTAATCACTCAATATCAAATATGCTGTATTTTTCACTTATCTATCAAAAACTAAACCTATTCTGAACACCTATATGTTTTCCATACACATATTGAGTCTTTATTTTAGAATTATTACAAAAGTACTCAAATACGCTTCATTTCGAAGCGCTCGTGCGAATTTAGAATTAAATTATGTAAGTAAACTATACTGGAATGAACACGCAGACTAAAACCGCTGCGTTACCGAGCGTGCGTCACTCTCATACCGTTACGTTATTGTTAAGTAATGCTCCTTTTGGTATTCAGATTATTTGTACTTAAATACTAACTTAATCCTAACATACTTTCTTTTTAAACGCACTCAATAAGGATTCTCAATTGGGGATCTACAAGTATTATTTGTTTGATTCTTCATATTTAAAATGCTTCTAAGCATTTCTCACTTAATGGTATATTACTTCCACGGAAGATTGACTTCCACGGTGAAGGAATAACATCGTGTAAAAAAAATCAACCCCCAAAATTTTAATTTGCGTAATCACTGGTGGTAGGACCTCTTGGGAGTCCGCACGGGTAGGTACCACCACCCCGCCTATTTCCGCCGTGAAGCAGTAATGCGTTTCGGTTCGAAGGGTGGGGCAGCCATTGTAACTATACTGAGACTTTAGAACTTATATCTCGAGGTGGGTGGCGCGTTTACGTTGTAGATGTCTATGGGCTCCAGTAACCACTTAACACTAGGTGGGCTGTGAGCTCGTCTACCCATCTAAGCAATAAAAAAAAATATATTAATTTGGTAATTTAATTTTAATAATTTAATTATTAATCATCGGTAACCTAAAGTAAGGTGCCGTATCCTAGACTGCCAATAGTAGGTATCGTAAAATACACCTAAACTACCCATAGTTATTCGTATAACAAAAAAAAAAAAAACAATTAATAAAACGCATTAAATAAATTGACCTGAATCCTATTAAGCAATAAACAAAAACTACCAAATATTATTCAACTTTATTGTGATAATGATAAAACAGTAAATCGTTTGAACTCTAAAGGCAATGATTATAGATAGAAATATGGTTTTACTGTACTCTGAGATTAGGGATATTTTAGCTTGAACGTGATGTTTGATAGTACAAAATGCGTTTGCGTTTGGCGTCTACACGGAAATGACCAGTTAATGTTTGTCAATGATGCGGGTACGCTGTCAGCTGTGTGGACATCAGCGGGCATATTATAACCATTCAGACTACGTGATGAAGATTAAATCTATTTAGTAAGACGTGAAGCAAAAACTTTGTACCCCTTTTTACGAAAATTGCGCGTACTGGTGGTTATTACTGGTGGAAGGACCTGTTGTGAGTCCGCGCGGGTAGGTACCACCACCCTGCCTATTTCTGCCGTGAAGCAGTAATGCGTTTCGGTTTGAAGGGTGGGGCAGCCGTTGTAACTATACTGAGACCTTACAACTTATATCTCAAGGTGGGTGGCGCATTTACGTTTTAGATGTCTATGGGCTCCAGTAACCACTTAACACCAGGTGGGCTGTGAGCTCGTCCAACCATCTAAGCAATAAAAATAAAAAAAGATTATGAAATTTCCCACACTTATAGAGAAGGAGTGCAGATTTTTTTTTTAATTATGCGTGAAAAATACCTATATTAAATCAATAAAAAAAAAACATTACACACGCTATCATGTATTTGACACACACACGCATGCATACTATGTATTTGCTTATTGTCAAACTTTTGTTAATGCTTAAAGTCAGTAGTCAAATTGAGAATAGATTAAATATTGTTTGTCTTTATTAATATTTGTCTAAAGTGTAGTCTTGACGAAATCTGTGATTAAAGAAGCATAAATAGTCTTTGACAATATAATCATAATAGTGTACGAACTTATAATTTCAACTAATTATAGTTGAACTTCGACTACCGGGGGACCACTAATAAATATAAAACATCTAATGGGAATTGGGAGTACTTTGTCTTTTTAAATATAGCCACGGGAACGGCAGAAACAGAAGTGCTTATCCCAGATATTACTAGTAGATACAGATTTATGTAAGGGCTTAGCGATTCTCAAAGCATTAAATTTTATTTTTATATCGAGGGGTAAATAAGCGAGATTTTTGCAACTTTACAGGAGAGCTATTTATTATAAGTTTGTTTTTTTTTTTTAAATCGTGTATAATAAACAACTTCTTCAGTTATTTGAATGAGGTATAAACTTAATTGAAGTTTAATTAAAAACATCGAGTTGTTGATTCTAATACCAAATAAAACGGACCTTTAATTACAATGATAAATGTCGCGTATCAAGCGAAATGTCACTTAAACTACCTTTCACCCCTCAATATAGATTATATTATAGAAAAGAATATCATGTGCATGGTATATGGATTGTACCAACTGAATTTTGTTAATGATAAATTTGGTACAGGGATATAGCGGGCCGCTGACTTTAATTACTTGATTGCTCTTCAAGAATGTGCAGAAATGAACATACATTTCCTAATAAAGAGCTCATGGCCTTCATTATGATTGATATAATTACTATCGATTACAGTCAAATAAACCTATACATATATGAAACAGTTCATTTCCTTAATCCTTTAGTGATTGTGTTTTTGTGGCAACTTATTTTTATTTTATTTTTTTAATGACTATCTTTAGTGTTATATGAAACGTACAAGACATGGTGCATGAAAAGCCGCGATATCAAAAAGATCGGTGCCTTTGAAATGGTGGCGGAGGATACTACGAATAGCGTGGACTGCCATGAGAACTAACGAGTCCATTCTAAGGGAGCTACACATTCGAAAAAGGCTCTCTTCCATCTGCCGGGAACGTGTTATGAGCTTCTTAAGACACATCATGCGGTCTCCCAGACATGAGTTAGAGAAGCTCATGATTGCGGGTCGCATAGAGGGCAAGCGCGCTGCGGGCAGAACACCAACCAGATGATCAGATCTAGTAAGAGAAGCACTTGGTGGTAGTCGGTACCATGCCGTCCATGCATCTCACTCTCATTTTTCATGAGGATTTCGACCGGGAATCGAATCCAGTTTGGGATCTGTGTCCTTAGTGTGAGTTTTTTAACTTCTCGATCGCGTTAAAGATAACTCAAATATGTATGGAGTTATAACAGCCTCCTATCGTTTGTCGCTAGGGGCGGTGTTCCAATTCTATACAAATCGGACTTAACTTTTACGCGATCGAGAAGTAAAAAACTCGCACTGAGCACACTAGATGGTACAGTGGTACCTACCACAGCGTAGTGCACTACGACACTAATATACTGGTCCAGTTTTATTTGACTTGTGCAGCTAATCTATTCAATGTCATAAAATGCTTCATCCTTATTGGTGTAATTTATTCAATTTGCTATACAAAAATGTGGTTCAATAAAATACCAAAATAATGTCAGTTTTAGGTATATTATATTGGCATTTAATATTTTTATATAATCTAGACATTTATTTGCATGACGCAAATGCTTTCGTGACTCACCTGGTAGTCCTTAACCATCTAAAGTTGAAGTTATAATTTTTTTTCCCACCTGTGCCGATAGCCTTGAGAGGCTATTTTAGCTTTACTCTAGCGTGTAGGTTAATTCGAGGCTCAAACCGGAGGTGTTGCTAACAGTGGCCCTAGCAAGAGCAGTGCTTGGAATCTACCACCAGATCGGAAACGCGACCTACTGAGAAGATACGGCGAGAAACTCAGTGGGCTGTGTCTATGGGTTAATTTACTCGCAGAGAAGTTTTAATCATACATAAATTGGTATATGGAATACGGTAGTAGGCGTGTGCTGGCTTACACAGCCTACTCTACCCCTACTTTTTAGGGAAAATGTAGTGTCTCCATTATGGAAACCGTTAGATTTTATTGCATAAATAGGTGGAGGCGCTCACGACCCAGCTTGTGGCTAGTGGTTACAGGAGCCATAAGTGAATGCTACCCTATGACATATAAAGTCTATGTTTCAATTGTATAGTAATGATTCAATGCATTTTTTGCGTATTTTCTTTTTAATCACACCACATTAACCATAAATGGTGGAAAGTATTCGTGTGAATATGTTGAGTACGTGTTTCAATTAGAGGAATTTGTTATTTGACCGCGGTATTCGAAACCCGCATTTGCGTCGCTTGATACGATTATACTGTTCATCTTACACCCAACTTTCAGAAAAAATCATCACATCATCATCATCATCAGTCTAGAGCAGTCCACTGCTGGACATAGGCCTCTCCAATTGCTCGCCATTTAACACGATCATCGGTTTCTCTTATCCAGCCAGTCACCCTGCATAGATCGTCACTCCACCGAGCCCGAGGGCGTCCTGCATTGCATCATTCAATCTACCGAGTATAATTTTACGTCAATAATTTAAAGGAAAATGGATCTTGTAGCGATAATTATAATGCTCAATCCAATATAGCATTATGATTAGGCTTCTAATGATCTCACGCGAGGTTTGGATGCTGGTTGTTGAGCGACAGGAGGTTTTAATCGGTTCGACTCCGACATGCCCCGTCCTCCGCTGGAGGTGGAGGAAGTCCGGTGATTTCCTACTGACAAAAAAAGGCTTCTAATGACAGTTATTACACTTACTTCAGAATCCTTCCGGCCTCAGGGTTTCTGTAAATATCACATTTGTGCAACGGCCTGGTCGGGTCTCCTGGGATGAACTGGCCCGTTCTCTCGCACAGGGCCCTGAATATCTGGAACTGGAGTACCGTGCTCACGAAGTATCTGTGAAAGAGGAGATGGCTTTAGTTGACGGTGGATTTCAGTTTTATTTTTATTTTACATAACTTTTGTTTGGCTATCGAGATACGACCTTTTTTTTCCCTACCTGTACTGATAGCCTTGGGAGGCTATTTTAGCTTCGCCCTAATATGTAGGTGAGCTAACGGGGCTCAAGCCGGAATGTTGCTAACACTGGCCCTAACAGAAGCAGTGCATCGCAGAATCTACCACCGGATCGGAAACCGACCCACTGAGAAGATCCGGCGAGAAACTCAGTGGGCTGTGTCTGTGGGTTCATATTTAATGCATAATAATTATAATTATATGAAGTTGAGACAGTGATTACGACGAAGAGTTCGACGAGCAAACTAACCTATAGACCTTAGATTATATACCGCAACTGTAAATGATCTAAGCTATAGACATAACCCACTGAGTTTCTCATCAGATCTTCTCAGCGGGTCGCGATTCCGATCTAGTGGTAGATTATGTGAAGCACTGCTCTTCCTAGGGCTCGTGTTAGCAAGTTCTCTTAAGTTGTGCCTGTGAGCTCATCTTTTTTTTTTTTTTTTTTTTTTTTTTTTTTTTTTTTTTTTTTTTTTTTTTTTTTTTTNCGGCAGATGTACCACGAACACAGAAACAACAAAAGGAAACAAAACAAATAAAAACTTCCAGAAAGAGCACTTAGTCGGCAGATGTACCACAAACACAGGCCGCGCGAACAATGGCCGGGCTAACAAAAGCCGGGCGAACAAAGACCGGGCGATCGAGTGGACGATGAGCACGTCCGCACGTGACGGGTGCCTCTATCGGAATGTGAGCTCATCTACCCATCCGCGCATAGCTGGAATAGCCCCTTAGACAACTAGCGAATAGGTATGGTAAATAAATTACAATGATATTTTATGTATTTGCACTGTAAAAAAATTACATTTCTAGCAACAATCATTCATTTAAACAAACACCTTTTTAATGCCCATACATCTCCAGAAAGGCAATCTTTCAGAGAACGGATACTAAAAAGACAAAGAAAAAAAAATTGCTCCGAAAGGGTCTCCGCTAGGATCATCAGGGATATCGAATACCTTTAACAAATATACTCAGTTCACCAGAAATCGAACCCAAAGCTGGCGTTACTACATTCAATGCCACTCACCACTATAGCAATGATGTGATCGCTTTAAAGAATTGCAATAGGTATTAGAACTCATGATACAAAGTGGGTGGTAGTATTTATGTTGCTTATGTCTATGTATTCAGGCAACCACTCAATACCAGCTGGGTCATGAGCCAATTGAGCATGACCATGAGCTGTAAGCAATAAATAAATTACCACTTGCATTAGACTAAGTCCTAAGTCCGTTTAGTGGTGTAATCCAATAATCCTGCGCGAAAGTTTTGTAATGAACCGACTCAAATCGTTCAATGTAATAACAGTTGCCGACGCACCGACCGACACGATGTGCAAAATGTTTAATTGAAACCAGTTTTGGAATTCTGTAATCGAATTTTGTAATGGCGTCTCTAAAATAGATTAGTGGGCTACTAACTATCACAATCCGCTTTTTTTTTTGTATCTGCATATTTTATTAACGTGGCTAACATTTTGAATGGAAGAGGAAGCCGAATGTGAGCTTCAAGAAACCTCGTCATAGATTAAACCGCTCATAGCTGACTCTGAATGACTCGGTGGCGGAGTAGTTAGCGACTCTGACAGCTAAGCCGAAGATCGAGGGTTCAATTTCCATCGGGCCAACATTCGTATGGTGAACAGTTTTTTTGCTCTTTGTCTGGTTATTTGTTTATAATTAAACGTATAAAAAATTGTTTTTCGATAGCCTTGTGAGGCTATTTCAGCTTCGCCCTAACATGTAAGTGAGCTCATGGGGCTCAAACCGGAGTGTTGCTAACACTGGCCCTAGCAAGAGCAGTGCTTTGCAGAATCTAACACCAGCGTATAAAAGTATGTAATCTCATAGTACAAGGACTCCTAGTTTGGGACCAGATGATCGTGTTTGAGTTGTCCCCGACTATTATTAAATAGCTTATGTTGCATTGAAATGTTAATTAATTTTAGAAGGCGGTATTCTTTGTCTAACCTAGGCCGCTTGGAATAAATTAGCGGCAAGGCAGTTTAAATAGCCGTGGGGAAGTATGCTCAAAATTTTTCCGCAACAGTAGCAAGCATGTCTAATTCTGCCGCGAACCAATCACGCGCTCCATTCGAAGACTAAAACTGCCGCTGCACAATCCAAATGATTCCTTACGCTAAAGTGGCGCAGGCAACCACCATGGGTTTTAAACAAAGACAATAAACAAATCATAAATAAATTAAAACGTTCGTGTATTTAAATCTTTTGGTCGTAAGCGGATATCGATGATCGATTGATGTCACGATTTTAAATCGATTTAGCAATGTAATTCAATGTTACACGTGCTCCGCATTTAGAAGTAGCGTGGCTACTTAATTATATCGAGGGGTGAAAGCTTGTTCGTTGTAAGCGACATTTCGCTTAATACGCGACATTTATCTTTTTGTAAATAAAGATACGTTTGATTTGGTATTAGCAATAATAGTTCGATGTTTTTATACGGAGAGACTTCATCTCTATATAAAAAAATGAATTGCTGTTCGTTAGTCTCGCTAAAACTCGAGAACGGCTGGACCGATTTGACTAATTTTGGTCTTGAATTATTCGTGGAAGTCCAGGAAAGGTTTAAAAGGTGAGAAAATATAAAAAAAGCTCGGAATTATATCAAAACAAACAATTCTGTTTTTCCTTTGATGTGTCCCCTTGAGGTGTCTTTTATTTATCGATTGAGGCAATACGAAGTCTGCCGGGTCAGCTAGTAACTAATAAAAACACACTACCGGCTGCTTTAAAGAAAGAGTGGCGACAATTGTCCAAAGAATAATGTTTTAGGTTGGTAGAGTCGAAAAGAGTGCCTTTTTTATTGCTTAATTGGGTGAACGAGCTCACAGCCCATCTGGTGTTAAGTCTTTACTGGAGCCCATAGACATCTACAACGCAAATACGCCACCCACCTTGAGATATAAATTCCAAAGTCTCAAGTATAGTTACAACGGCTGCCACACCCTTCAAACCTAATGGTGCTGTCATAATGGTTGTTGTCATAAAATCAAAAAGTCGGTCGAAGAAATACTAATTATTTATTATAATGAAGCATACAAGTTACAAAATATAATTAAATCTCCTATGCTAAACTATCCTAGAACTGGCAGTTCAATAGGGGTCCCTGATACTTTTGCTCGTGGCTGTGGTATTATAGAATTCTGATTCTGCCGCCCCTATTTGAAGCATGAGATCGAAAACTCTTTTTTTTTTCCTACATAAGCTGAGAGCCTTGAGAGGCTATTTCAGCCTAACCTTAACTAGTAGGTGAGCTCACGGGATACAAACCTGATGACGTTGCTAACACGAATCCTGGCAAGAGCTATGGTTCGCAGAATCTACCACCGGATCAGTAACGCGACCCACTGAGAGAGACCCACAAGATCTGGCGAGAAACTCAGTAGGCTGTGTCTGTGGGTTAAGTCGAGCCCATCGTCGAGGTTCGATGAGAGCGATGACCAGTGCTTGAGATACCTAAAAACACCGTTAGTGGATCGGGAGGATCCGAAATGACGTGTTTTGGGCGACGTTGACTGCTTTCCATTCTGTTCGCAGGATCGGGAATGTAGTTACCGGCGGCCACGATGAGAGGGTTTTCGTGTCGTGCCGCTTTGTCGGAGTCTCAGTTGTAATGTATAACAATGCTCCATCCTTCGAACCAGAACACGTGAGTGACAGTATTAGTATGTTGATTCGTGCTTATGCATACAATAAGTCTTACAGTACGTATGGATGAATTACGCAAATCGAACTACTGGCTTCTTAAGTGTCGAATGTTTATAGCTTCTGACGTTAATTACATATACTAGTGATGTATTCGATCACTAAATGTAATCCAACAGTCTGGTTAGTATCGAGAACAAACACTAAATCATTAGTAAACGTAATTAGGTTGATGTAATAATATCGGGCGGGGTTTTAGTTACAGCGAGTTTGTTTTCCCTAACTATTTGTTGGTTGCCAGCTACGCGCTGATGTAGGTGAGCTCAAACGGAGAGAATTTACTAATACTAGCTCTATCCGGCGAAAAACTCAATGGTGTGTCTGTGGGTTAGTTTGTAAAGGCAATAAATAATATGTAGGAAGTGGAATTCGAAATCGATTGCTTCAATGCCAATACAGTTTTGTTTTTTTGTTGAACGTCAAAATAAACTTGGTTAAAACTCAGCGTCTTCGTGAATTTTCTTTTAATAATTTAATTTATTGGTTCTTTCGAATCATAAAATTAAAAGTTTTTTAGATGCAAACAAGCTATCTTACAAAATTGCAACAGAGAAACAAAATAAAAAAACCCGGGAACGAAAGATAAATTCTTCGAAGCGTCATTTGTATATATTTCTATTAATTTATAATATTGTTACGCCGGTAAGAGTAATGCCATATATCGCCAAATAGTCGAACGAATATCGAAGGATCTAGTAGCATCTAGAACGCTCGAAAAGTACAACGCCATCTATTGTCAGATAGCGGAAACACAATACTCGACTTCTGTGGAATATTCTCGACGGTTCTAGGGATTTCGTCTCGACTATAAAAGCGTTGCACGTCTGTGGCGCGCGCTGCCCCGGCACTCCACGGAGAGCAGAAGCGGTGCGTCGTCACTTTGTTGTAAGTTAGGTTAACTTCAGATTAAGTTAGGCTAAGGTTATATTGTAAATGAAAAAAAAAAAAAAAAGAAGAGATGAAGAATGAAGAAAGAAGTCGATCCCACCCATCAACATCAAGCCTGCCTGATACTCCATCCAGCAGCGCATCACCCCTGCCTCAATAGGCAGGGAGTCACATGTCCGGGCAGAAGGGCTTCCCCGAGGCCCGCTCTGCGCCCCCGCAAGGGGACGTGACGACCCCACGATGCAGTCAGTTAGTAAT